TCCACTACTTCTAGAAATACTGCATAGGATATAAACATAAGCTTGGACTGCCTCTGTAGATACTGAAGAGGCTTCTGATCCTACATATTAAGAACTCGGTTTGGTTTCATGAAGTACGATTCAAATGCTTCCCTCAAGGGGCTTCCACCTTGATAGTTACCCAGTTGTGATGGGGCAGTGGTACCAACATGACCCAATGAATTAGTTTGAAGCTCCAAGAAGCCTGGAGACTTCAAAAAGAGAAAAGAAATTGCTTCCTCCAAGAGTACCTCTGCCATATTCAATCGGTAGATGCTAATCTTGGAGCATCGAAAATATCAATTGCACCCGAAGTATTTGATGCATAATATTTTCCCCAAGTCTGAATCTCTTGTAAATATGACCAAATATAAGGCACGAAGTATCCCACCAAGCAGGAACGGCTGCATCCACCGTGTAAAAGCTTACATATAAACATGTTCATTGACATATTTTCCTTTTGTCCACTGGATATTCTAACTGGACAGCTGGTACTGAACTCGTAAGAAACTAACCATCTCTTATTTCATGGTTGAATCAATGTGCTATGTTATAAAGAAAGGGTATCCTTACCTTCATGTCTTGTGTCCAATGCTATAAGAAATACTTATCTTTTCATGTCATCGTGTTGTATGAATTAGAATTTGCACTGAACAAATGAACAATAAAAAGTTTGCCCCAGAATATGTGAAACAACTAATGCAATAGCAAGCGCGCTCATGAAGAGCTGTAGATATATAACTCAGTCCAAATAAGCAAACCAGAAATTTCATATCATGTAACCTTCGCTAGTGTATCAAAGGGAGCAGGGATTAGCATTCATCAGCATAGTCAAAGAGTAAGATTTCCAACTTCAGATATTGACATAAAATTTCACTAAGAAGATAATGAGGATGCTCAACTACAAGCGCTCTATTGGACATATAATAATTGTCTCATAGAAAAGTTTGAGTCTGTCCAAGGAGAAGATGCACCCGACTGGGTTCACCCCAGTCCATGCAGAAAGAAACTACTCAACGAATATATTTACCCCTGCTTAGAAGTTCTACTCAGTGTAGACGAGCTACTCCCAAAATCCCACCAAACCTTGAAATTAATATTTGCCTGCCCCACTGAACATATGCACAGTGTGCCCTTCCCCAATGAACACTAATAGCAAAAAATTTTGTCCTGGACACTAGAGAAAATAAAGTCAGACCACATTTTGGTAACAAACAGCGGGTGGGGAGATCCAGAAAGTCAGCCAGTGCTCAAGAGTTCGATTGTACATTTCCAGACTAACCTTGAAACTGTATTCTAAAAGACGACCAACTCTCACAATGTTGGACATCCAGCATTATTATGTCGAGTAAAGAAACAGAAACTAGCAAGAAAGTCAGAAAGAATTTTCAGAGGTTTGCACGAAAATGCTCACCATCTCATTAACTGCTACTAAAAGATCTTTGCGTGCCTTTGCAAACCTCTTCAACTGACCACCAATCATATTGAATAGAAGAGCATCAAGAGTCAATGAAAGCGTCATCCCAGGCCTTTGTACTTTAACAGCTACCAGCTCTCCAGAAGGAAGGTGAGCTGCAGGACTTGGCACAACAAAAAGAGACGGTAATGTTATGAGTCCAGTTCGCAGAAAGATCGCCAGGCAACATATAAGCAGATATATAATCTTTCCACTCATAGAAGAGATTCTCTGACCTTTGTACACCTGCCCTAAAGATGCTGCTGCAATTGGCTCTGGACTGATGTCAGCAAAAATCTTTGAAATAGGAGCTCCCAACTGGGTCTCAATAGATTTAATAGCAACAGAAGATGAAAAGGGTGGTATTTGATCCTAGCACAAGAGAAAATTTCAGCTGTAGTATGATCAGTTTCTAATGAATCATCAAAATCGGGAACAGTTTCCTCAGTTAACAATTAGACAGAAATTTATAATAAAAAAATACTTACCTGTAACTTAGCTAGCTCCTGACAATATATTGTGGGCAAAATATCTGGTCTCGTGCTCAGAGCTTGACCAAGCTGTACAAGGTTAAATGTATGACTTTAGCCAATCACAAGTCCCAAAATTGTGACTTGTGAGAACCAATTCTACCCAGACAAGCACGGAGTTCGGGTGGAAAAGACTTGCCTTGACATAAAATGGACCCAAGCGTATAAGAGTTTCACGAAACTGCAGGAATCACATATAATTTCCGTAAAAATTGGATACAATTAGGAAGAGAGCAAAGAACTTCAGACAATACAGCGTCATTATCATCTTATAGATCCAAAGCTTTGTCAATTACCATGTAAAAGCCCCAGCTCATGCAAATTAAACTTACTCTAAGCATGATGGCATCAGGGTAGCAAACATGCAGAAATCTCTAGTCCATATCGGCAAAAATAAAACATCTTGAGATTTTAAATTCAATGCGAAAAGACCATATTGAATAACAAAAATGCCCAATTTGCCTCACAGTAGGGCCTAAGCATGGCGTTAAGTGATGGTGACAATACCTTAACAGCTCGTTTCTTCATGTCTTGGACAAAAAACTGCCAAATGGTTAACTGCAACACATGGAATGAAATAATTGCTGCTCTGTACAAGGCTAAAAAGGGACCAAATCGATAAACCGTAGAGAAGCTTCTGGAGCTATACGTCCCAAGAGCATGGCCAAATTCACTTTCTAATGATTCCTTCCTCAATTTTGCATACTCAGCAGATGGCCTTTCACCATGCACGCTGGTAAATCCAGCAGAGGACCTTCACAGACATCGTTGTGATAGGTGTGAGCGATACGTTTTGAAGGGCATATGATCATTATCAATTTAAAGCCCAAATGCTAGAGATAAACATTCTACTCACGAATATGGCCGTGACAACAACTGCAGAAAACAGATATCTTGTCTGGTTGAAATTCCAATGTCCTTTGCGCTACCAATTAATATAAGGTTTCCCACTGGGCTCTCAGTCCCATTATGACGGCATAAACCTGCTAGGCAATTGCCAAATGCAAGGAAATAATGTTATTTCCCTGTAGGATGAGACGATTAATACAAGCAGTAATATCCATACATGCCAAAAATTAACTTCACTAAAAGCACCAGAATAATTGCTCTTTCTCCAAGAGAATAGCATGTGGAACACTACCAGTGGTAATACGGTTGTCATAATGCAAATCCCATGAAATGAAACCATTTGATTATCTCAATCCCATTCGAATGAGGAACTTTATAGTAAACACCAACACTAGAAGACATCACTTTCTCAAGTACCATTTGTCAGCGGGCGGTGTGCGCATTGGAATATACATAACCACTTATCGTCTAACGGTGAACAAGTGAAACATGAACTTCTCCACCGGCAGCCTATCAAACGAATGTCTCGGAACTAAGGCAGTTCAAACTATCAACATCCCCTCTTGATGAATAAACTTCCACTTAATGAAAATCCCCTCAAACATTTTGCGAATACGGATAAGTAGCTCAATAGATGAAACACCCCTAGTAATGAAAATCCATAAGACAACAGCGGACCAACGTGATCAAACCGCTACGGCACAATACGTAATCGCAACAAAGCGTTCCGAGGGACAAGCAGGTCGAGATAAAACCACACAAAACTCCTGATCCCGAACGTCTACCACCGGCACATCGGAGACACCGATTGAGCTCCGGCGCGTGGTTGGAAGCGAGCGGAGAGACGCGAGAGCTGAGAGCAGGAGATTACCCCTGGAGAGAAGTGCGACATTGCGGCGGCGGCGGCCGACGCGGGCAAAGACGGCGCTCATGAGCTTGATGCCGGAGGAGAAGCCATTGGAGTGTGTTTCGCGAGTTCGTTGCGTGCGCAGCACTTGTTCGATGAATTGCCGCAGTGAATAGGGATGTGTGAAGCGCCACGCTTTGTAGAGAGAGAGAGAGATCTGATTGAGAACGAGAAAACTGCCACGTATCACGATCTCAGTCTACCTGGCACCTCACGGGGTGACCGAGCCGCCTTCCCTCGCCGGCGTCGATTTGCTTGCTCCGGCGTGCGTGCTCAGGAGAGAAATCTGCGTTTTCTTTTTTGATAATTGATGAAGAGATTTAGATATGCGCGTGCATAATGTTCACATTTTCTGGAAAAAAAAATATTTGGTCATACACATTTTCTGAAAATTGAAAAATAGCAAATGCGATTTGAGTCTTTTCACTTGTTTTCAAAATGAGAAGATTTGAGATTTTATGAATTTAATTGACGATTTTCATTGATTTTCAATACACGAATTGTGCGTCTTGACCGACACTCTGTGGACAATTTTTCGAAAAGATTGAAAATAGGTAGAAAATGAAATTGGCTTCTAAAAGAAATTCGTAGAAAATTAAAAAAAGTGATCCTAACTCATTTTTATTTTCTCTTGTATGGCAAACTAATTAAACAACATTATATCACTATTTTAATTTGTGACGCATATTAAAAATGGCTATAATAAGACTAGAAAAAATTACATGAATATTCAAATAATTGGAACTCGTCCATAAAATATTTGTTTACCAACCTATCTAATATTATCCATAAATGGAATTAAATAACATGTTTTAGAACACTATCGGCCAATTAAGAAAATAAAAATAAAAAAATAACACAAATTATCCCTGAATTATGGCTAATTGTGCAACGTGATCCCTAAACTTTTAATTTGTTCAATGTGGTCCATAAATATTCAATGCATGTATAAATTTAGTTCCTGAGTTATATACAAATGTTCAATGTTATTCCAAAACTTGAATTAATGGAAAGAACATTAGATATTTTCATAGGCTAGAGTCAGCATTTACCAAAAGTTTATGGAGTATATCAAACAAATTAAAAGTTTAGAGATCATATTACATATTGGGATAAAATTCAGGGACCACATTGAATAAATGAAATGTTCAGGGGCCACACTGTATAGTTGGCCAAAATTCGGGGACTATTTGGGTAATTATAAAAAGAAATGTAAAAGGTAAAAGAAAAAGGAGCTAATGCTCCATCGGGTACAGTTCCCACAGGCCACAGCGACTCACCACCAGCTGTAGAGCTCGAATACCGTTCTTCCCGCCGAGAGCAGATCCCGGCGACCGCACCCTCTCTTCGCCGTTATAGGCAATCCCTCGGCCGGCGAAGCCGGCTGGAATCCGTGGAAACCCTAGAGCGAATTCGGAGCGTCGATTTGCCGGAGCTTCGTCTGCTTCCAATGGCGAACCAGCAAGCATCTTCAAGGCCGTGGCTCATTGAAGCAGCGCCTTACTTGGTGGTTCTCCTCATCGCTGCTCATGTCTTCGCTTTGGTATACTGGATATACAGATTGGCTACGGAGAAGCAGCCTCAGAGAAGGAAGGCTCACTGAAGAACCTGTCGATTTGCTAATGATGTAGCGAAGGTTTGTCGAAAACCCTGATTTGTGATGGAACCTGTTCTCGTCACGATTTCGCGGCGTTCGCCATCATATAGTCCATGTTTTTTTGTTGATATTTTTGGAAGTGTTGACAAGAAGTCCTAGAAGGAAGGTTGAGCGCATTGCTGTCGTTGCCATTGTTTGGAGTTGTTAGAAGTTGAGAGAGGAATGTAACCCTGCCATGTTGACAATTGTTTGTTTCGGTCAGTGAAAGCAATTTCTACGACTAGTTCATGTGCACAGACATTTGCTCGGATCAATAAGCTTATCTTGTGGAGAATCTTATACTGACTGTTGCGAATCTGCTGTGATCTTCCTATTGTGCTATAACACACTAAAAGTGCCTGAGTGCTTTTGAGAAGGCAAGGGGTTATTATTATCCGGTTAAAAGTCATAAGAGTGCGAAGGTTGGATATTGCACATTAGGAATTGCATCAAACATCTGGGAAATGGGGTTATGATATTTCATGAAGAGTTGCACGAGGTTTTATAGGTGCCTAGGTGCTTTTGAGAAGGCACATCTGAGGGTCGACAACAGAATCGTTGGATTATGATTCTTTGTGGAAAAAGGGAAGGGTCCCAAAGTTGGTGATTGCACATTCAGAATTTCATCAAACACTTGGAAGCAAGGGGCCAGGAATGCCCGCCAACCCTGAGGGTCCACTGCTTCCTATTTTAGTGATAATTTTTGTTTATGTTAAGTATATTATAGTAGGAAGGACATTTTTGCAGATACAATTTTATTTGTTGTGAGTCTAGGCAAATCTGTTTATTTTCTTTTTGGTTTGAAGATAAAGTAGAAGATAAGCCTCATGAGGAAAAATCTCATCTTAATTACCTGCTCTAAAGGCCATAGTATTGCTAGGTAAGTTATGAGTGGGTGTAGTTGCCCAATCTTGTTTGAATTGATTTGAAGTAGCTTTGGTTCAGGTGAAAGTCACAGGGGAATATGGTGATTATGGTGGGAAGGAATCAGTCACATGCTCGATTAGTATCCATTAAATATGCTGTAACAAATGCAGTTCTCAGTCTCATTGGCTTTGTATTGATGCAAAATGTTTAGAGGCCTGGTAGCATTGCTTCCTTCAACAGTCAAGAAATCACCTGCTTGTTCTCGAGGGAGGAGAAGACAGGGAAAAGCCTCTGTTTTTGTAGTCCTTACTGATAGTGAAAAGTCTCTTTCCCCCTGTTTTTGGGGTGATTGTAGGGAACTATGCAAGCTGCTGGGAGATTGACTTCAATCACTTTCTCCTTTTCTTGAATACCAATTTGTTGATTCTCATTTTTTCTCCTCTTGTAATATAACTAGCATAGTCATTCCAGAGGACATTTTCTGTTGATTCTCTAAGCGTGTGAACTTCTTTTGCCATGTTTTACTGCAAAATAATAGATACTTACAAGGAGAATGCTTCCTCAGTCTCTTAAATTCAACTGGCCTTTTTCTTTTTCTCCTATGTGCAGAACTTTGCCCGATTTGTTTAGCTGTAGTGTTTCCAATCACACTCTGAATATTTAAATTCCATTGGGCTAGTGACTTCCTGAACTCTTTATCTGTACATCTAGGAATTTGAACCTTTTGGTCTTGAAGGTGGATATAGTGTGTCTCAAAAGAGTGCTTATGTTGTACTATTTGTACATAATAGACTGTTTAGGGGAGTTGTCTGCGTTATCTACAGCCTTAGCATAGTGGATCTTTGCATCACGTGCTTGCTGTCTTCTTATTTCTTTTCCTAGATATGTCTTGCTGCTTTACCTTCATAGTTAACACGGTGGTTAGCGATCCATATGACAAGATGATCATGATAATACTTAGGTTTGTGTAGACCTGTCAAAATGGGTCATAAACCCATTTTTTAACCCATTTATTAGTAAGTGGATCATAAATAGGTTAATTATATTTAGTATGGAAGTGTTAAATATGGAAGTGTTTTAACAATATGGGTCGGGTCGGATCGGGTATGGGTCAAGAAAATTACATTGCGCATAAATGGGTCATAAACAGGTTAATGGGCCAATTTGGGTTGGACCATTTGTGACCCGACCCACCCATTTTACACGTCTAGGTTTGTGTCTCTGAGTAGCTCGAAATGAATTTTTAAGATTTACTTTCAGCTTTCTGATCCGAGTGGATACATTTTGGGAGATGATGGTTACTTCTGTGCTTTTTCAATGTGCTCACACTAGTGTCTTTTATCATATTCAAAACAGATAGACTGTCTCCTTGCAGTGATGAGGAAACTAATGGTATCTAATTATACCGCAGGAAGTTTACAGCTCAAGGATGATCCATCTTGGGGAAAATTCAAAAGATGGATTGCTAGATATACGGGGCGAGAACTTTTCACGCATGTTTTCTTACATCATACCTTCTCATTACGTTCAAAGTCATTGCTCTTACTTTGTACAGATAATTTTGGAAGTCTTGTGTTTAGTAGATGTTTAATGAGTGGTTGGTGTATTGGATTCGATTTGTCCGGTGTCATTCTGTTAACCTATGCTACCGGCCATCCAGTTGACATTGCGTACCGTTTTCTGAGTGAATGAAGGTTTCCTTCGGGGTACCAACTTTCGCATTAGGCCGCCTCAAGCTGTTGGTTGGATGTTGAAAATGTTTGTGTTGGTAGGATGCTGACCCGTATGAACTATGCTCACTAAAGTGCTTTTGACAAATTACCATTATCTTGTCTGCACATTTAGTTGATCTAAATGAAAGTAGAGAAATGCTATTTCACCTGGCAAGGATATTTCTTTTTGTTTTTCCTTACAATTAGGGGCTTGGGAAAAACTCGATCTATAGTGGAGGAATAGTCTTTGCCAGCAATGTGGTCCACCTTTCCACATTAGCAGTGCAAGGTGATCTTTTCGTGAAGCTTAATGGTGGAAGGGATGGAAAGTCCAGCAATGTGGTCCACCTTTCCACATTAGCCGAGCAAAGTGACCTTCTTTGTGAAGTTTAGTGGTGGAAGGGATGGAAAGTCCATTTGCTAGGCATGCTTTTCTCCCTCCCCATCCTTGGCCTTTAAGAAAAATCAACACGGTGGCAAACGCTGCCCCTTCTCTCTTGCACTTCATTCCAAGCATGGGCATTGACTCACTCCGTGAAATTGACACAACCCATTAAGAAGATTGAAAAGATAAAACGAGAAACGGCATGTAACTTAAAAAATATTTATGTCCTTTCACGTTCCTATTTACGTTACTTATTAAGCTGACAACATCTGTGAATGAATTACGTGTTCTAATTTAGGCTTTAGCAGTCGTCGTTCCCTCAGTTGTCTCCAGCAGCGCCGCTTTACGGGGAGGTTCTCTGCCAACACCACCGCCCAAATTTGCAAAGCGGGGCAGGTCGACGCCGACGGATGAGGCGATGGTGGGCTCTTCTTCCCCCACAGGTTTGGGTTAAACAAAAAATTGCGGATTCGTTCGGTCTTTTATGTCTTTATTCTGCTACGTGTCCCCATCTTGATCGTCAACATCGATGGAGTCAACAAGTACGTGAAAAAGGTGTCGTCGTCACCCTTTTCGTTTCCGCTTGCTTGACCCCCCAGCTCAAGCTGGACGTGTTTGCCATTCCTTCGTTGGAGAATCTACGTTATTTGCCACTCCATCGACGAGGACGAGCTGTATTATATGATGCACCAAGGGATGGACAAGTTTTTGCATAATCAATGCCTTTTTCGTTAGTTTGGCTTCAGCACGCCATGTACGACTCCTCGTCTATGGTTGACACTTTGACACATAGCACTAACACGCATCACCCGATGTGATGGCAAATCCGAGGTCAAAAGAGTGAGTTTTGATCCCGCGCTACCATTGTAGAAAGAAGGCCTTGCTCTCAAGGGAAGGGATATTACTTTAATGGGGTTGGAGCTTGTCCTTGAGACCTAATAATTTATATTGATAGATCGTTGCATGTTGAGAGCAAAAGTGGCATGTTCTTGAATTTTGGGTCCCTTTTCTCTTTTGCAACAAACAAAAGACCAATCTTGATTATAATACTTACATTGTTTGCACAAAAAAAAAATGATCAAATCGTTGTAATCGACAAACGGTGACATTTGCTCGGTTAATCAAGAGTTTGGTTTAAAAGTGACTCAAAGGACATTGGTAAATCGACAACTACATAATAAGGTAATCGATAGCGGGTGAAGGAGATCGACAAGCATCATCATACGAGTTCAAAAGAGTATTTTCTTGGTCACATGCTACAATCGCAAAAGGAAGGCCTAGCTCTTAAGGGAAGCGATGTGTTCTAGGGATATCGAAATAAATAGCTCATAAACTTTAACTCAATGTGTAATGTGGTATGCAATGTCGTCCCTACATTTTTAATTTGTTCAACGTGATCCCCGAACTTTTAATACATGTATGAAAATATTCGATGTTGTCTTTCTATCAATTCAAGTTTAGAGACAACACTGAACATTTTCAAACAGTTTAAGAGCTAAATTGAGTATATACCAAAAATCCAGAGATCACACATTGAGCAAATTAAAAGTTCGGAGACGGCGTTGTACATCGAGATAAAAGTTCATAGACCATTCGTGCCCTTTATCTCCCAAACGAAATGTACGAGGTGTCAATAGGAAGGGGCAATTTCGCAGTTTTATTGAAAAGCGAGGGGTGTCTCCTCCGTACCCGCAACGATGCATCACCAAACCCCCAGTCCCTAGCCACGCCTCACTATCCACTCCCACTCCGATTCCCACGCCTTCTTGGTTCCTCTCTCTTTTATTACAACACGCGCACACACACTTCCCAATTCCCCCCCGTTGCCCATCTCCTTCTCTTCCTCTCTCTCTCTCTCTCTAGCTTTCAGGAGGAGGGGGGCCGTAGACGAGCTAGAGAGAGAGAGAGAATGCGGACCACCAAGCACCACCGCCGGAGCTCCGGCCCCGACCCGGACCCCTCCGCCGAATGCTCCAGATCCGAGTCCCCCGACCCCTCCTGGATCGCCGAGTCCATCCACGGCGGCTCCCTCCGCCGCGTCGACCTCCACGCCGGCGCCAACGGCTGGGCCTCCCCGCCCGGCGACCTCTTCTCCCTCCGCTCCAAGACGTACCTCCGCAACCGCCACAAGTCCCCCCCCGGCCACTACCTCCTCTCCCCTGCCGGCATGGACTGGCTCCGATCCCCCGCCAGGCTGGACAACGTCCTCGCCCGCCCCGACAACCGCGTCGCGCAGGCCCTCCGCAGGGCCCAGGCGCGCGGCCGCTCCCTCAAGTCCTTCATCTTCGCCGTCAACCTGCAGGTCCCCGGGAAGGACCAGCACAGCGCCGTGTTCTACTTCGCCGCCGAGGAACCCATCCCCCCCGGCTCGCTCCTCTACCGGTTCGTCAACGAGGACGACGGCTTCCGCAACGGCCGGTTCAAGATCGTGAACCGGATCGTCAAGGGGCCCTGGATCGTGAAGAAGGCGGTCGGCAACTACAGCGCGTGCCTGCTGGGCAAGGCGTTGACGTGTAACTACTACCGTGGAGAGAACTACTTCGAGATCGACGTCGACATCGCGAGCTCCAAGATCGCGAGCGCCATCCTGCACCTCGCATTGGGGTACGTGACGAGCGTGACCATCGACATGGGCTTCGTGGTGGAGGCCCAGGCGGAGGACGAGCTGCCGGAGAAGCTGATCGGCGCCGTCAGGGTGTGCCAGATGGAAATGTCGTCGGCGCACGTGGTGGACACGCCCCACCCGCCGCCGCAGCAGCAGCCGCCGCAGCCGCACCTGCGCGGGCACGGGTTCGCTAGGGTGAACCACCATACTCCCGGGGACGACGAGGACGATGACGATGACCATTGATTGATTCGGAAGGCACGGAGAAGACTGCAGAGGTGAAACCCTTTTTTCGTTCTAATGACTCTCCTCGATTCACTTTGCGTTCAAAGTAAATCGTCCTCTGCAGCTGATTTGATGCTAAAACAAGAAAATAACAGGGAATGATGTGAAATTAATTGGATTGACCCTTTTGATGGGGGGCACTGATATCTGTAGATAGTTCATCTCATTCTTATTGCGAAAAATAACAATGCCCAGTTCTGCTTCTGGAAAAGCTCACTTGTTCCTGGCATCTTTGTTTTAGATGATGTAACACCTTTTGTTTGGTTAACGCTTATCATCAATAATCTAGAGAAAAACGAGGAAGGGGTAAGAAGAGAAGAGAGTATATGTCTTTTGACAAGATTGATGTTTCTGGGTGAGGTCGGTCGTGTACTTGTATTGGGTGGGACAGCCCAGATTTTGGTAGCTGGGGTTGCTGGGTTCCTTTTCCTTAGCAATGGAATAGCATGATTGCTGGTGTGTGCTCATTTGAGTCGCGTGCCGTTTCTTGATGTCCCAAAAAGCACCGAGCTTTGATTTGTAGATGGTGGGTTTCGTGAAATTGGGAATTGGAACCAACTAGGAACTGAAGGGGCGTTGAAAGTGTGCTGGCAAGGTTGTACATTTTGGTGTCTATGGACCTCCCTTATTTCCTGAAATCATTGTACTGCTTTTCGACAGTTTCTTGTCTCCTTCTTGGTACATGGCGTGGGGCATTGCATGATTAGACAATGACCCTCAGCTATCAAACATACACTCAGTAACTATAACTCCTGTTTAAAACTACTACCGGAGTCCCCTTAGTCACATCCCAGTGTCGACTTAAGCATTAGAGGGCAAATCCGGGCGCAAAGCACGGACGCCCCTATCGGTTTGTCGTGGTCCAGACTCCGGCTGAGTTTGCAGCTCCCATTTTGAGCTTTAACGTTAGATATCAAGGCGTGAGAAAGTTAGTAATGCTCTCTCGATCATCATATTTTGTGATTTCGGACTAACTAGAATTATTGGGGGTTTCATTTTTGGAGTATTTTAACTCCAAGGAACGTGGTGGTGGTTCACTGATCACTTGTCCGTCAGTTGATTATTTTAAGGGGAGTAGGCATCTTTGGAACCGTTCCATAACGTTCACTTATCTGGCGGATTGAACTGTTTCCGTAACACAGTTAGTTTACCTTTCCTTAGAACATGGTTAAAGTGTACAAATCGATTCTGATAAAAGAGTGTTATCATGTTTCACGTTGATTGATTCATGGATACAAAAGAACTCTCGGTACCCCATTTTAGGGGTGTGTGCCAACTCGAGGTACTGCAGAAGCGGTAGGGTTCATAAGTTGATAAGGCACTGCTAGTGCTATAGTGCCTCAAGGATCATAGGTCGGGGCCCCACTATTGATTTATGGCTCGTTCTTGGTTCATGTGTTGTCGAACATGGTTCAAATAAAAAGGCGATACCTACCCGTCGCATGAGAACCAAAGTTCCACGCAGTACGCATACGAGGGCATAGCTTTCATTTTCCTTCTCTTTTCCATAATCATTCTGTTTGCTCTGTTCATCAAATGTAACACGGTAGCTTTCAAACGAGGGCGCTGAAAGTCTTACTAATTCTCGATGAGCCTATTGTACGAACTCAGATGATTGATCCTCCCCAACTCAAGTGCGATGGCCACTTTTGTCTGTGGGCTCACATGACAAATCCGTAGGCAAACCCAATATTATTCTTATAATGACAATCATATTTGGCATTGCTATATCGATTCGCTTTTTCTGAGTTTTCTCCATGTCATCATGTGGTTGGCAATATTCAGATGCATCATGCACACGCCCCATCACCGGGCCAAAAGGCTTATAGACCAGATTTTGCAAGATCTCCATGTTCTTTCACTTTGCTTTCGCCCCCTACTTTGAATAGGAATCCTTAATAAATGCGTGGAGAGTATTTTTTTTTCCTCGAGAAAGTTGTATTATTCCCAGGACAGTCAAGAAGCAGGAGCCGCTGGTGAAGAAAAGAATTGAGTCAGAAAGATCAATAGTCGTCGTCCTTTTCCACATATAAAAAGAGCGACTTTTGTAGCGCCATGTGCTGCTATTGCTACGCGCAGAAAGTCATCATGTGTGGTGCACATGAATCGGCCTAGCAAAGAATCGGGTTCCAAGCCTTTATCCCCGTGTACTGCTTTTACCCGGGGATTCGCCCGAGTCTTGATCGAAGAACCGTTTTCAAAGGATTGCAAAGTGATATGTCGGGTTTAGCTTGCTGTGATCTAAAACTGCCGTGCAGAAAACTGCAGCATTGTATGTCCACTCGGTCTAGAGTTTGAATTACGTCGACTGTTCGATCTGAACCTGCTAAACATTCCATTCAGTAAGTATCATGATATCAGGAGATATGTTTCCAGGAGTTTGATTTAGCCCCATCTCAACAAGTGACGACTCAAGAAAGCCCGCAACAAAACGAGGCGAATGCACCTCAACTTAAAGCCCACATGAATGTGAGGTGAAGTTTGCCTCAATAGAGCCGAATTGGGCTATCTGCACGATTCAACCGGTGTCGGCCCATTTTTCTTGTGGGTTTTGTGTTTGCCACTCACTTGTTGTAACTACATCTCTTATTTGCTGAGCCTAATTCCCTAAAAAAAACCCTCAACTTTAGTTCAAATCTCAAATCTGCTTCGAATTTTTTTTTTATCTTAGAAAAAACCCTAAACTTTAGGTCCATTCTCAAATCTACCCCGAATTTTTTTTTGTCTCATAAAAAATCCCAAACTTTAAGTCTAGTCCCAAATTTACCCCAAATTTTGTTTTGTGTAAAAAAAATCACCAAAATTCAATTTATTTTCAAAAATATACTTCCGCGATCCAGTCCCAACTTGACGTGGCATTACCACGCCGAGAACAAATCCATATCAACGAAGTAATGGGGCACTTTTTTAGACAAAGAAAAGTTCGGGGCAAATTTGGACTGAACCTAAAAATTGAATTTTTTTTTAAATTAAAAAAAGTTTTTTGGGATGGATTTGTTATCGTCCCTAACTTTCATATCCTAGAACGGTTTTATTTTAGAGAATTTCAATAATTTTTATTGGGTTAGATTTGTTATTGAAGTGGAAATGCGTCATCGATCTATACCTATCGCCTCATTACTTTGCTGACATGGATTTGTTATCGACGTGGAAGTATCACGTCAAGTTGGGATTGGATCACGGGAGTATATTTGTGAAAATAAATTGAAATTTGCTGATTTTTTTTACACAAAACAAATTTTGGGACAGATTTGGGATTGAACTTAAAGTTTGAGGTTTTTTCCGAGACAAAAAAAAGTTCGGGACAGATTTGGGACTGAACCTAAAGTTTGAAATTTTTTCTGAGACAAAAAAAAAGATTTGGGGCAGATTTAGGACTTGACCTAAAGTGGAGGGTTTTTTTAGGGAATTCACCCTTATTTGTTGCGTTGAAAAGAAAACCGATTCTGCAGCTAAAAAGCCACCAGAAGTGGATGATGAACTGAATCGTGGGACTTTCCATAGTGGCCATAAAAGCACATGCTGTGTAAGACTAAGAAAGTGGGCGAGCCTCACCATTTCTTTGTTCTCCAACATACGAATGCTTGCACTAACTTGGTTCCTTTGAAAAACCCAACTCAACTCAAATCTGCAATGTCGTTGTCAATCAGTGACACTGAATCCTCGGTGCAAACAATGTTAGATTTTTGCTTTCAGCAACCATGCGCGCGTGCGCATAGAAGTAGCTAGTGGGTGTTACTGTCCTAGCCGGCTATGAGTCATCTTCTCATCATGCTAAACGTCCACCCTCTGCAGCCCAAAACCAGATGTAGTTCAGTGGGAGAGATTTTGTCGTGTTTCAAGTAATTTAATTTGACCGAAAACTGGAGCTGTTGGTTTGTTTGTAACACGTTCTGAATCTTAGAATTACTAGCTAAACTATCGGGAGTCCATCCACTTGAAGTTTCGCGTTTTCACGAAGCCGAGCGGAATGAATTTGAAAACTTCCATGATCAATAAATCCTACATCATCATGGTTTCATTTGATAGATTTTAAATCGAGACGTGGCAGGGTTGATTAAGATGGTGTCATTCATGGGTTGTGCCCTTGTTTTAACTAGACACATCATTTTCTTTTCATTTTCCACTTCATTCTATATGTATGCGCGTCGTTTTCACAAAAGAATTCTAATTTAACCGACTGATATGGACATCCTCTGTCCACTCATGGCCTTCCACATCGATAATGGCCCATTCATGAGGACCAATGGGCAAGAAAAAGGACATCAACATGACATCAAAGGCCTATAAAAATGGCAAAACTACTTTTGGGGGCTTCTCTTTCTGTATCGACCACTGATTTTAAAGCAGCTGGTACGCTATCTCTTCGCAAGTGCCTTTCACACATGAAAACAACTTGCTCTGAGAATGATCTGTTAGCCCTCAGTTCAGATTGGTAACAAGAACACCCGAGTAGAAAATTCCAAGAAACAACCACCACAAGATGACCAAATTCAGAAGAGGTCTTATGCCCGTCTATAGTCCTACACCAGAGAGGAGAAATAAGATGGGCAGTGATAGCACAAAGCTTCAGCTTTCTGATTTATGTGAATCTTAAAGCTGTGAGGCTCATCATATTGATCATTAACAGTGTCTTACATAGCAATCAAATTGATTGTAACAGTGTCTTCCTATCACTTATTTTCTTCTATTTGCTTTTACACTAGATAGTCTTGATTGCACCAAAATATATATGGAAGCCAAACCAGATTCCCAGCTTACAACAACAATCTGTATACCACATTCTTTTGGCGCGCGGATCATTATTCTAAAATCATAGTCTCCTACCTTTGTAAGTATCAGTAAACATCAAGAGCTAGTGCACGGTTTTTCCCCATCACTAGCTCATTTTTAGGCACAACCCTTTGGACTGAACCCAAGCTTCAATCCAGCGACATCGTACACCACCTCGAAACTCTGCTGCTGCACATTCCCATATATCAAAACATCCGTGTCGTCCCCATTCCCAGCAAATGCCAGGCAGACCTGTGACGCACTCGCAGCATACAATATTCCTGAAGGTTCCAAGTCGATGTTGATCCTACCGTTAAAATAGAAGCTGACTTTCGGTATTGACACCGTGCTATACTTGCTGAGGTCATAGCAGGTGTCTAGGATCGAAAGAGCAGGTGCCGTCGGATATTTTGTCATCATTTTCTTGAAAGCCCTAGAGAGTGCACTATACGCCGTGGGCGGCAAGCGAGTGATCACGGTGCCCGAGTCTATGATCCCAGGGGCGTTCGAGAAAATACTCGAGGAGATTGATAGTTTAGTCCCGGCTACGCTTATTCCTTCTATGTTGATACCATAAAAATTATCGCCTTGCGAGATTGTAGCCAAGGGTGTGAATTTTACGGAACTAGATGCTCCACTGCCTTTGCCAAAGGTCAAGTGTCCAGTGGAGCTAGATGATGATGGTAGGCAATACGAAAAATACTTGCCGTACTTGCTCGCGGTTTGTTGCACTAGAGAAAGTTTGTCTCGGCCGAGTCCAAGCAGCCCCGCGGAACCACCGAAGAGGCCACGGTTGTTCTGGCCACAACCAAATAAAAAATTGTCAAATGCATCTGTGGATGTCAATGTCAATTTCTCTTTTCCGAAGAACCCGGCCGAGTACGAGGAGTCTCCATATTGTATGCCGTAGACACATGTGGATGCCGAGCACCCCGGAGTGTTTCCTGCATACAAACATGTAGAAGCAAAGTTCTTAAAATTCATCAGAGAGATTGCAGTCCTAAACTTGTTCTAAGTCTTGCAGAATTCTGTTAAGATTTTGAGGCCTAAGATCATTGTCTAAGCTTTCACTCCAGCGATGCGAGCTCGTTTATTAACCACATTCTTGTCTCATGCTGACAAATTTGTTCCTTTTCCTGTTAACCTTCAAGACAGTTGAATTTTCTCTGATCACCAAATTTTCATTTGATTGTAAAAAACGTTACCTGTGGCAGAAATGAGGGCAGAGCAAAGTGAGGAGGAACAAGTGATGTTTGTATAGGATGCGGACAGTGAAGGGTTAAAAGTTGGCTCCTTTTGCTTGTAGCAGTATCTCACGCACGGCTCGCACTGGGTCCAAGTGAGGTCACTACCCGTGTCGAAAATGAGGGACAGTTCCTTCTTCGGCGTGCCAAGGCCCACCGTCACTATGTAATTGCCCGCGCCGACCGTGCTGCCCGACTGCACTGGAAGATCAGCCTTTGAGTCCCTCACGCGATTGGTCTCACTGGTACTGGCACTGGCACTAGTGATTTTGGAGAACCTTGATTGAATTGACTTGACCCTTGATTGATCTCGGAGGAGGATTTGATCATGGGTTGGTGCATTTGCTTTGTCCTGAACCAGTTGTGAGCATGGGCCATGCTTGTGGACCACTCTTAGCGATGATCTTTTGTCATCAACTGAGAAAAAAAATGAGCACATAAAATGAACAAACACATGGAGGGAGGAAGCTTCCGATTGTGATTAAAGTTAAATGAATAGATGTTTGCCAGACAACCTAAATATGATGACCTATTGGACTTCTTGTTAGCGGGACACAGATGACGAAGAATCCAGCAGAACGCGATTCTCTAAAGATACACACCGACCTTTTCAATTCGCATTACGTTGGGAAGTCATCAATTATCGGTTCTCGATAATCAAGTCGGCCGTCTGTGAAGCATTTTTCCTCCACCAACAGTTAGTGAACTCGAACCATGAGAAGCTTCATCACTGAAAAAGAACGAGGCTCGTTCACGGATTTCCATCCACAGCCTGAAAAACTTTCGTTCTTTTCCTAGTCAAATGAGCTTGGTCACGCAGTGCAGTGAATTCTTCATCAGATGTGAGAATTCTCTTCAAAATAAGTGGGAGAAGTTTCTTTGTAATTTCAATTGGTAATGCAGGTGTTTCTCTCTTCTTCTTTCTGCTCTTGTTCATTCATTTTCAAACTGACAATGAAAGGCCTTTTGGGCTTAAACGTGGGAACATCACGTGTGAACTTGTTTTGGAAGATTATTAGGTAACACGAGTAATACGATTCCTCCAAGAAATCATTTAGCTACAGTGTTTCTGCATCTGTCCAAGAAAACTATTGTTTACTCACATGAATATTTTGCTTTGTGAAAAGGACAGTAATCAATTGAATACTTGGAAAATCTTATCTAGATCACCTTTTGAAAACTTCTTTCATGTGAGGAGATCGCCTGTCCGTGCATGTACCTATCGAATAGCATTGAGATTGCCCTAAACTTGGTCGTTTCATAATGAAAGGAACAAAACAAGAATCATATCGGATCAAATCAATCTATATAACGACGATCGCTACAAGTACTCAAGATGTCTACCCTGCATATGGTTGGCAAAATGTCCAAAGCTAAACATAAATTCAGTTTCCTTGCACTTGTGATTCAACTTCGTATTCAACATGAATGTGCACGTACTGTTTTTTCTCATCCATTTTTTGAGCAAACAGAAATTGATCTTGAAGGGTGGGGATGCTCTAAACCTGCTGACGTGATGCACATGTAATCTGTGATTTCACTGCGAATTTCTTTCGTGTGAATTTAGTGACTAACTATTGCGGCCGGTGCGGTCAACATTGAATTTCCCTAGCTTGACAAACGAAAATTTGGAAGTAGTAGGCGCTTGACGAGTTCTACGGGCAGCAGACTTCGTTTACTGAGGCTGACCACAGAAAGTAGGCACCGAAATAGTCCAACCATAGAAGTGAGTGCGCAATAAAGACCAATTGGCCAAGAAAAATTAGCAAATCAATTGAAAGATTTGGTAATTGATTTAGCATACTCTTTATCCTCCTATCCAGGAATCGATTTAAATCTAATAAAAAACTTCATAATCCACTTTTTGAACCATGGAGAACCGACTACTTTTAGGGGTGAGGTAAAAAGACAATCGAAAGTTTTTCTTTTTTTTTTTCCTTCCAAATTTAGATGAACTATAGTTGTTTCGGCTATCAAGATTGAGACCAAAGTGCTCCTTCCTTTTCCTGGGAAGTTGGTAGGACAATTTATAATTCTCGAAATTGAAAAATTTCTAATAAATACGTCATTAATAACTACACTAACCCAATATGAAATAGTAGTGAATAAAAGGTAAGAAAGTCATAGATTACATTTAACATGCTATATTGTCAAACATAGGAAACTTCTCATCAAACGATGCGACGACGGGTATTATCACTCTTATAGACACGTAATTTTCACAATTTAAAATTTTGTTGAGAAGTGCTCGGGCTCTGTCTTCCTCCCGTGAACTAAGTAAACAAATTTGCCATCGACTCTATGTGATGGTGGCTGGTTACTTGGATTGCCACTCAGCACCCTCTCTAACATCAAATCTGTGGAGCGTGATATCTCGATAATAAAGCACAGATAAAGCAAGCAATTCCTAGGATCTCCCATCACCTCACCCAAGAAAAGCTGCAAAAAGCTAATTACTGCACAAACTGAGAGAGAAAAAGAGAGAGAGAGAGACCTTGTTGAGGGGTGAGGGAGGTTTTGCAAGAAGACTCTGGCAGGAGAGAGCTGACTTGAATGGTGTGATGAGTGTCATCGAGAGAAGAGCAGAGGCAGCTGAGCAAAAGTGAGCTCAGCACAGCCACGCAACTCAGAAAATTAATGGACATCGAATGATGCAACACCACAGTCGCCATCTTTCTTGCTTGCTTGCTCTCTGCTGTGCTGCTCCCTCTTACCCGGTTCAAAGCACAGATTCTGATGACATGTGGTATCTTGGTTTGCCTCTTTATAAGCTTTTTAAGGAGACCACATCCCTACAGCCCGACCGACTAATTGCATGGTTAGTATTCGCTCCATACACACGTCACCCCCATCATTGGCAGCTTCTGCTTTCTTTTCCCCACACATTCCTATATACTGTAATTATTAGTATTTTCATCTTTTCTTGTTAAACCTGCATTTCATCCCTACCATACCGTGTCTATTATATTCTTTTCATGGCTCCATTCTTCGGATCGAACAGGACTTGACATGCTCGCACTAATCAAGTAGGCTAGCCCCACCATGATGATTTGGCTCCATTAGGAAAAGGGTCGATGTTTTTAAATTCCATGCATTACCTAACCTGCATAGATAACTTAAGTTTTAGCAACTTAAAGTGTGTTTGTATCGCGGAAAATGAATGATTTGAAAAGCATTTTCCAAAAAATGATTACCCATAAATATTTTTCAAATCTTTTATTTTTCGCGAAACAAACGCACCCTTAATTGATCTCCATATATGGCATTGCAACATGCATGATAAACATTAGTGCTCTTAATCTAACATTCTTGTCTTCTTAATTGCTCTAAAATAATAGATCAATGGTGGTTCCAATATATATATATAAGTGGACTACGAGACAACATAGCCTTTGGCTTTGTAAAGTTACTTTTCCCCCATACCATAATGCTTCGCTAGCATGATGCAGCTAATGTAAGTTCGCATGATCCGTGTTGGAATTGGGTCCACTTTACATAGTTCAAATTGATACTATAAGCCAAAAAAGAAAGAAGAAGACGATTAGGAGATAAGCCTCTGGAATGTGCATGACGTGTAGCAAACAACACTAGCACTCGACTATAAGCCGCGACAAAGTAGGATTTTGAGATTTCATCTAACATTTGTAGCTTCCATGCTCTTTGTTCATGAAGCAAACATAGTCCTGAATGATCTCACTAAGTGCCTAACCATAGGTGAATTGACCGTTGTTTCGTGTTCTACAATAATCCCTGAAATAAACCTAAAACCTTCTTCATTGCTTGTGTTCTAGCCGAAAAAATTACCAAAAAAGTCATAAACCTATTATAATTATATAAATTCAATCATAAACATTTTGCATTTGTACCAACTCAATCCATTCGGGCCAATTGGATTGAATTGTTCAAGATAACCTTGTTATGAAGAATTCTTTTTCCTATGGATCTTCTCCAATACTATTAATATACAATTCCAAGACGTACCAAATATTTGTGTTTTTTCTGCAGATGATGCACAGATATCAGTTTAGAATAGGGCTATAGATTAAAGAGATGGTTACGTTTGCTTGTATCCAATGTCACGTGCGTTCAAATTCTGGGGCTGATGTCTCGCCAAAACGGAGGCCATTCTAAGGCATAGATGGGACAAACCACAAGTGGCTCCTACCCGGGAAAGCTGAAACACGATTTTCCAATCTCTACAAATCAGATTTTACAAGCTCCTAATGGAAATTTGAAGTCACCCAAAGATTTCAGGGAAAATTGTCCAAAAACTCATAAATCTATTGTACGGAGGTCAATTTAGTTCTAAATCTTTCAATTGTGCCAATTTAATCCTAAACCTTTTGACGATTTACCAATTTGGTCAGAACCCTTTCAATTGTGCCAATTTAGTTGTAAATCTTTTGATGATTTGCCAATTTAGTCCTAAACCTTTTGATGATTTGCTAATTTAGTCTTAAACCTTTTGACGATTTGCCAATGTAGTCATTCCAGCCAAATATCCAAATAATAGGTTTAATACTAAATTGACAAATCTTCAAAAGTTTTAGGACCAATTTGACATAATTAAAAATTTTAGGACTAAATTAGCAAATCGTCAAAAGATTTAAGACTAAATTGGCCACCGTAGAATAGGTTTAGGACTTCTTGGACAATTATCCCAAAGATTTCACATCCTTTATCCAATCACAAAGAAGATTCATGCTCAATAGATTTGTTGCTAAACATTATTGAACCCGCAAATACAGAGCACAAAACAATTTCGTTGGCTCCACACAAGACCAATGTGGGGAAAACAATTATTGGAAGTGGGAGTGGCCTTGAACCAACCTCATGTATTTTGGTCGTCCATTAGGCATGACTGTACCCAGATGACTTTCCTAGAATTTCGTTGATGCAATGCCACTGTTCCCACTTGAAGTCTCTAAGTGCAAGGGATATCTTTCTCCATTATATAAGTCTGAAAATGGTTTATAGCATAAAAACGAAAACAAGGCACGGAATCTTCAACCTCCCCATCATTTTCATTGCCGGCTAAAGCCAGCAAAGTTCACTCCTAAGTCGGGCTTAGTGGTGGACCTTCCAAGCATTTCATGTTGCGCTAGAATCTTATTCTCGTGTGAACCCATGCGAGTCATTTCTTCCGGAATTAAAGATGGCCAGAACCTGGAATCTGTGTGTGTGTGTGTGTGTGTGTGTGAGAGAGAGAGAGAGAGAGAGAGAGAGAGAGAGAGAAGATTCTTGTTTATCTTTATGGGTAGAGACCTAACTTGTGCAGCCCAATCAAGTGGGTGGTGGAGAAAAGCTGGAATCAATCCAAAGGAGGGAGATGGCAGAGAATTGATAGGTTAACAGCCTCCCAAATTGATATGAGTGTGAACATATTCACACTTAAATAAAGAATGAAAAAACAAGAAAAACTGAAAAGGGGTTCACTTTCTTTTCCCACGGTCCCCGTTTCTCTTTTTAATTCACTCAATCATGCTTTGATTGAGTGACCTACAAAGATCAATCAAATGGGATTAGGTGGTAGGTTCACATCATGGGAATCAGCTCTTCTTTTGTTTGTTCTTGTAGTAACTGTTCACAAGGCTTAAGTGGAAGTACTGTTCTGACTCTAATAAGTACTCGACAACAGTCGATACAACTAGAAGGATTAGATAGATTTTTCAAGACCCTCCTAGAATAGAATACCATTCCTTTAAAAAGGAGAGACAGGTGAAGACACCGTCAATTGGCAGCTATCAAGTTTTCTTCCTTCTTTTTCTAAAGCTTGCTCGAGTACATTCACATACTATAGTCTTCTAAAGCCCGGTATCTTTTACTTCAGACATATCTTTCTCCTTGTTCACACTTTAAGGTCTCTTTCATGCATTATTTTAAGCTCCATTATTACTACCACACGATGGAAAACTCCTGGAAAGAAATCATGTCTCGTGAAGTTGTGGATTAGACTACTTCTGTTGAGGCAAGGACATAATTGGGATACGAAGTCACTGTAATTAGTTTACTTCGTCAAACTGGAGATGAGCTGAGCCATCGGATGTTCATGCCCTCACGCCGAATCATGGCGGATGACCTGATTGTGTTTAACAGCTGCAAGTCAAACCTATCATTCATTTAAAGAAAACTTGATATGTCTAGCTTTGATGGATAGAGCTAACTTTAAGATGAACATGGAGAGAGACATCATTTTTGAAGAGGAACCTTATCTTTGGATAGCATGCAAGAGAAATCACAGAGTAGACTCCCTGAAGGAAGAATTAGACAGTAGGACCTGGCAGAGATTAAAGGTGGTCAGCTTGATTTTGGAGGAGAAACTCCATTTTCAGCTTGTATATCTCTTGATTCACGTTTCTTACTATGTAAACTTTAGTTGACCTTTGGAGTTGGACTAGTTTACAAGAGCATTGCATCTGTAAATGTGCAGTTCAGCATAGTTTGGGAATTCTTCCTCGTCCGATGTTGAAAAGCGACAAGATGTGGAATGACTTTCTGGACCCTTAAGAAAGCAGTTTGCTCTCTCTATCACACAAGAACTAGATTTTTGGAGGACGAGATGATGACGGTGAAAACTAATGGGGAAAGGGAAAGGAAGAGTTCTGCCTTGATATGATTGATCTCACGTTGGAGATGCAAGGAACTTTACATTCTTATTTCTTCTGGGAACTTGATGAGATAAAGAATGTCACTGATATGTCATTTTGGCAATTACTTGTTACCTCGGAAGGGCTCCCATATCGTTGTTATGCGTTTTTGTGACAGTAGCGTGTTATCATTACGGGATAGATGAGAGAGTGGAAGACGTAGGAGCCGGAGGTTCTAAGTTGATTTTCTGAGTATGGTGTTACTCTTATGGAATAGATGGGTTTCAACCATCAATGAAGCTGATTATTTGACGTTTTAACTGACGTCACTAACATGGATGGATACGAGAGAAAGACTCACATCTTTTTTTTTTTTTTTTGGTAAGGTAAAGACTCACATCTTTCATTTGCAGACTTTTGAGGAATTTATAATTTCACTCCTAAACGATGTTAGAAATTAAACCAAATTTGTTAGTACTTGTTTCCTTTTTGAGTCTGTTCGTATTTCCATATTTTGATAGATATTGTGAGATATTGTTTCTAGTTATATTTTAGGAAAGTTTCCTAAGTCAATTAGATTTCCTAATTAGAATAGGTTTCCTAGAAAGAGGTTTCTTATTTCGAATCAAACTATGGTCTATATATAGTCTATTTCTCTTGTAATTGAGACATGCAATAGAAAGACGCGAATTGCGATTGTTTCACCTTCAAAAATTCCTTTCATCAAATCAATATTGGTGCCGCGCCTCTGACGCTCAACAAATTGGTATCAGAGCTTACGGTTCGTGATCATGGCCTCAACGAACAATCAGCTTCCTCTTCAATACCCTCGTATTACCAAAGAAAATTATGGTAACTGGGCTGTTAGAATGAAAGCTCTACTCGGCGCCTACAGTGTGTGGGAATTTGTTAACACTGGCTATGATGAGCCAGAGGATGAAGCCACGTTGAACCAGAATCAGAGAAATGCCTTGGAGAAGGCTCGAACGAAAGATCAATATGCCCTGTCGATCATCTATCAAGCGTTAGATGATTCCATGTTCGAAAAAGTTTCGAACGCCACTACCGCTAAAGAGGCATGGGAGATTCTTCAAAACACACATCAAGGAGTTCAGAAAGTTCAGAAGATTCGCCTTCAAACCTTGAGAGGCGAATTCGAGGTAATTCGTATGAAAGAATCTGAATCGATTGCTGATTATTTCACGAGAATTTTGGCAATTGTTAATCAGATGAAAAGAAACGGAGAAGAAGTTTCCGATGTTCGTGTTGTTGAGAAAATACTTCGGTCCTTAGACAAGAAGTATGATTATATTGCGGTTGCAATCGAAGAATCCAAAGACTTTGATGCCATGACGGTCGATGAACTTATGGGTTCATTACAAGCCCATGAAGAAAGGTTTAGAAAGAAAAAGATTGAACCGGTGGAGGAAGTTCTCCAAACGCAGTTGACCATACGAGATGAAAAGGAGCAAAGAAGAGATCCCATACAAAATCGCGAGACAAATCAAGATCGTGATCGAGGTCGTGGCCGAGGTCACTTTCGAGGAAAAGGTCGCGGACGAAGCAGAGGAGATCCTGCTCGAAGTGATGGTGGATACCAGTACCAAAGAGGTGTTCGTGGAAGAGGAAAGAACTCGACAAGCCAATGGTATGATAAATCTAAAATCTGATGTTATCATTGCAATAAACTTGGCCATTATGCTTCTAACTGCTCGAATAAAAAAAGTAGTAGACCAGATGAAAATGCAAACTTGGTAAATAATGATGATCAAGTTCTCTTATTGGCATTCAAAGAAGATGAAGAAGGTCAAAGCGATACGTGGTATTTGGATACCAGCGCAAGTAATCACATGTGTGGGAGAAAGGAGATGTTTGCCGAGTTAGATGAGACAATTAAAGGGAATGTCTCATTCGGTGATAACTCTAAAATTCTTGTTGAAGGGAAAGGTATAATTTTGATTCGCTTAAAGAATGGTGCATGTCAGTTTATTACTAATGTTTATTATGTTCCAAAAATGTCAAGCAATATCTTGAGTTTGGGACAACTTCTGGAGAAAGGTTATACTGTTCATATGAGATATCTTAATCTTATATTGAGAGATCGGAATAATAAATTGATTGCAAATGTGAAGATGTCGAAGAACAGGATGTTTATTCTTAATAGAAAGAGTGAGATGTCTCGATGTCTAAAGACGTGCGTAGATGATCCTTCATGGTTGTGGCATTTGAGGTTTGGCCATCTCAATTTTGGCGGACTCAATTTGCTTTCTCGCAAGAAGATGGTTTATGGCTTACCACATATTGATCATCCCGATCAATTATGTGAAGGGTGTGTTATCGGCAAGCATTCCAGAACTAGCTTTCCGAAGGAGGCGACTTATCGAGCGAAGAAACCGCTTGAGTTGATTCATTCTGATTTGTGTGGCCCGATCAATCCTCACTCATATGCTAATCATCGATATTTTGTTACTTTTATTGATGATTTTACTCGGAAAACTTGGGTGTATTTTTTGAAAGAAAAGACATAAGTGTTTGATATTTTCAAACAATTCAAGAACCTGGCTGAAAAGGAAAGCGGCTATTTTATCAAGGCTTTGAGGACTGATCGTGGTGGAGAATTCACCTCAGCCATATTCAACAAATTCTGTGAAAATCATGGTATTCGACGTTTCTTGACAGCCCCGTATTCTCCTCAACAAAACGGTGTGGCTGAACGGAAAAATAGAACCATTCTTAATATGGTTCGAAGCATGTTGAAGAGCAAAAATTTGTCCAAGGAACTTTGGGCAGAAGCTGTTTCGTGTGCCGTCTATCTTCAAAATAGATGTCCAACATATGGACTTGAAGGCGTAACTCCACAAGAGGTATGGACCGGGAGAACACCAAGTGTTTCGCACTTGAGAATTTTTGGGAGCATTGCATATGCTCATATCCCGGATCAAAAAAGATCGAAACTTGAAGACAAGAGCAAAAAGCTCATCTTTATCGGGTATGACTCATCATCCAAAGCCTATCGATTATTTGACCCTAACACTTTAAAAGTGTATGTAAGTAGAGATGTCAAGTTCGATGAAGATGGAATGTGGGAAGAAAATCTAAAAGAAGAAGCGAATGTTCGTGATGATTCCGATCAAACGGAGTTGAAAGATCAACCTTCACCTTCTTCTCCAACATCTTATTCAAGTTCATCAATACCATCCTCTTCAAATAGTGTCGATGAACCGCTAGTGCCAAGATCAAGAAGATTATTTGAAATTTACGAAGCTACCGAAGAGCTTCATCTTATATGTCTTCTTGCAGATTATGAACCACTTGCTTATGATGATGCGGCCAAAGAAGAAAAGTGGAGGAAAGCCATGAACGAAGAAATTGAAGCCATCGAGAAAAATCAAACATGGGAGCTTGCTAATCTTCCGAAAGACAAGAAATCAACTGGTGTTAAATGGGTGTACAAGGCCAAGAAAAATAAGAAAGGTGAAGTAACAAGGTACAAAGCTAGATTAGTCGCGAAGGGGTACAAGCAAAAAGCCGGAATCGACTATGATGAAGTTTTTGCCCCTGTCATCCGCATGGAAACGATTAGATTGATTATTTCCATTGCTGCTCAAAATAATTGGCGGATTTATCAAATGGATGTCAAATCAGCATTCTTGAATGGCATCCTTGAAAAAGAAATTTATGTCGAACAACCCAAGGGGTTTGTTGTGAAAGGTTATGAAGACAAAGTGCTAAGGTTGAAGAAAGCTCTATATGGGCTTAAACAAGCACCGAGAGCATGGAATTCTAGAATTGATGCATATTTCAAGGCGAATGGATTTTCTCAATGTCCATACGAGCATGCACTCTATTTGAAGCAAGAAAAAGGTGATATTCTACTCGCCTGTTTATATGTTGATGATCTTGTTTTTACAGGAAATAATTCGGCGATGATTGATGCTTTTAAGGCATCGATGGTAAAAGAATTTGAGATGACCGATAATGGTCTCATGAATTATTTTCTTGGTATCGAAGTGAAGCAAAGTGCCAATGGGATTTTTATTTCCCAAAAAGGATATGCAGAAAATATCCTTGAAAAATTCAACATGAAGATCTGTATGCCGGTCAATACACCAATGGAGTGTGGAACCAAGCTTTCGAAGTTTGATGATGGTGCCGATGTTGATTCGACATATTATAGAAGCTTGATTGGAAGTTTGAGATACTGGACATGCACGAGACCGGATATTATGTATAGTGTTGGAATTGTAAGTCGATACATGGAGAAGCCGAAATCATCTCATCTTAAAGCTGCAAAGAGAATACTTCGGTATATCAAAGGTACTATTTCTCATGGTTTACACTATTATTGCTCTGAATCTTTCAAACTTAAAGCTTATTCGGATAGTGATTATGATGGAGATATTGACGATCGAAAAAGCACCACGGGATTTATATTTTTCTTGTGCGACACTGCTTTCACGTGGTCATCAAAGAAGCAATCAAGTGTTACTCTGTCGACATGTGAAGCTGAATATGTAGCTGCATCTTCATGCGTTTGTCATGCAATATGGTTGAGAATACTACTCAAAGATATTCTTATGGAGCAGAAGAAAGCAACGGAGATTTTTGTTGATAATGTTTCTGCTATTGCTTTGGCGAAAAATCCAGTTTTTCATGAACGAAGTAAACATATCGATGTTCGATATCACTTCATCCGAGAACAGGTTAAAGAGAATGAAGTTGAAGTATTGCATGTGAAGACCAGAGATCAAGTAGCAAATATTTTTACTAAACCTCTTAAGATCGATGCTTTTCGAAAGTTTAAGAGCCTACTTGGAATGATCGATGGAAGAGAATTTGGTTTAGGGGGGAGTGTTAGAAATTAAACCAAATTTGTTAGTACTTGTTTCCTTTTTGAGTCTGTTCGTATTTCCATATTTTGATAGATATTGTGAGATATTGTTTCTAGTTATATTTTAGGAAAGTTTCCTAAGTCAATTAGATTTCCTAATTAGAATAGGTTTCCTAGAAAGAGGTCTCCTATTTCGAATCAAACTATGGTCTATATATAGTCTATTTCTCTTGTAATTGAGACATGCAATAGAAAGACGCGAATTGCGATTGTTTCACCTTCAAAAATTCCTTTCATCATATCAATATTGTTGCCGCGCCTCTGACGCTCAACAAACGAAGCCATTCGCTCTTCACATGCAGAGGAGGACTAGAGTTGTAGTACAGATGTTTTTTTGTAAAATTCCAGCGTCAGCTTACTTCTTCAATATTTAATCACCTTCTACCAAGTGACAGACTAAAAGAAAATAACGGCAGATAAAACCAAGCACACTGGAAACTTCTGAAAAGCAAGATCCTGTGGCTATGCAAACTTCCTAGCAACTGACACTGCGAATAATAGGACTATCTCCAAGCGACAGCAGCTCTAAACAGAGGACTATGAGGAATTACATTTTTCTTAATTTCTTTCTGTGAGAGTGAAAGAAAAAAAATCTTGAAAACCTTTCAATTTCATCCGTTAATGACTGAGCAAGATTGTCTCACCTCCCCCGCATTGCCTGTTTTTACTTCAACTGCACTGAGCTTCAAGAATGACTGAGCCCAACTTGCAAAGAAACTGTCCTGGTCATTCGCGAAATTCTCTACTTGCCCCCTTGTTCTGTTATCGTTTATCAATACAGAATCCGACTGAAATAGCCCCTTGTGCAACAAGAGATTTCGGTAGTACTGATTGTCAAATGACAGGGATGTATCAGGGTCGTTGTTAACTGTAATGGAAGGACTAGCACCTGCAGGGCAATGTGTCATGAGTTCCTCTGCATAAGTCTTGTCGAGGGATGAGTCAATTAGCAAGAGCTTCCCCTTGGAGTCTGCTTGAAACCTGTCGCTGAATGCACTGCAGTGAGCAGCTCCTATGGTATGTGCTCCTGTCACCTCAAAGCACATAACGTTGTCAACTTTAGACCACGGAGGCTCCAATGGTCTTGTCTGTAAAACTAAACCTTACTTCTACTATTTAGTGAACTAGCAACTAGGATATGCCCAATCCTAAATTTTTCATTTACCTATCAATCCCAAAATTTCCCATTGACTCAAAACAGTTTTCTTTTCCGATGGTCAGGGGGATGCAAGAACCAGGGAATATTTTATTCGTGTGATTCCAACTATAAGGAGAAAAGTCTTTTGCATTGTCGTTATGCTTCCATTAAAAAACATGACAAAAAATACATCTTTTCGTTAACAACTACTCTTAGGGACATTTTCCAAACTTGATGCCTGTACTACTAACCGATCTCGACCATGTTTTGCTTTTTGGAGCTGATATATTCCAGTTATACCTGACAGAGTGACAAGGTCAATCAAGGACAGCCCCTTAGACGAGAAGAGTTTAATCATCTCGTTGATTGTAAAACTCGTATCCACGATGTTGGGTCTTACATTTGAAGCTGCAGAAACTCTCCCATCTTTCCTACCTGTTGGAATCAGAACTGCAGGCCCTCCAGTCTGCATTGAAGCATGCATAATTAAGTGCAAGTGTTTTGTACTTGAAAAATTGGAAAGGAAAAAAGTAGTTTTGAGAATCTGCGTTACCAGTTCAACAGCATCTCTGGCAGCTAATGCAATTATATCGGCGCAAGAAACAGTTCCTGGACAGAATAATTCTAAAACCCTTTTAGCTGAGTCTATGACAGAAAATCCTCCAAGTGATGTATTAGCTGGATCACTTTGCTCCGTTCCATTTCCTCGTATAAGCACGGATGCATCGCAACCCTACCACCATATCATAGTAATCAGTCAATTTGATTTGAAATTATAGTCACCTTGGAAGCAGGCGTAATTTCTTGGCTCAAGTTAGGAGACAGACTCGAGAGAAGTCATGAAGTGTCAGCAAGACCGCACATAGGAAAATTTACTAGTCAATAATTTCATCTACGATGATGGAAGGAGAGACTTTGCATTTAGGAATCTAGATTGCTTGGAGAAACTAAACTTTCAGTATTTGAAATGACTGTCACTATTTTCATAATTTCCATGGATAATTAAGCCATTATGACCTCAGAAAGATTTCTTACTTCTTCAGGACTTCCAACAAAGTTCATGAGATCTTTTTCCTTGGCCTAACAATAGAAGAACAGGAACATACGAGTCGCTATCTTGAGCTTTTAAATTCCTATTACTAAAAAGGAACTCCACGGATTCAACAGATGTGTGTCGAACTTGGCTTAAATTTCCTTCGGCAGGAACCCAATAAAGTTCCCAGTTCAGTCCTTCTACTGAGAAAGATTATGCGAAGCGGTCCATTTGATACAAGGAGGCATGAAGTACATTCCTTGCACTAGTTTCAAGATTACAAAAATCTGTCTCTTTCTAAAGTGAGCAATAAAGAGAAGAAGACTAACCTCCACGAAGCAGTCATGAAAGAGCAAACGAAGGAGCTTCCCAGGGATTGTGGGATCACTGGAAGAAGCTGATCTCACTGTGTTCCCGACTATGAATTCAGCACTAGGACATGAAGCTGCATAGAACCCAAAAGACAGCTGAGCGGAAGAGGCAACCACATGAGCTAGGAAGACGACCAGAAAAATGAGCGGATTCAAAATGAAAACTCTCGTCTCCATGAAGCTTTCAGGTGAATCCTGCACAGAAAGTATCACTGATAAGAGCTGCTGAAAACAACTTATTCGGAGTGAGAGAGGATTTTGATTTTTATCATCATTTAAAGCAGCATTTAATAAATTGGGTGATGTCAGAAGGTAGATGGTTCTTCGGGTCATCATGCATTAACAGCTTATAGAAAGATGAACATGTTGAAGGGATGTGTTGAGAACCGAAACAGAACGATCACGCAGAAAACAGAGAAAATAGACGATGCACGAATTTACCCAGGTTCACCCTCAATTAGGGCTACGTCCTCGCAAAGAGATTTCACTATGTTTTCGGTTTACAGCCACTCAACTCGTTACAATGATCGAAAAACGAGTAAAATATATATATGCCCCAAACGGGCCCAAAACCTAAATCTATATGAAATCTCTTAATCTCGCACCATACGCCACCCAAACCCGTTGAGGTTGGGCGCCGCCCTCGAGCCCCCGCCCGCTCACCGGCGAGTGGTGGCCACCTTTGACCCGGCAACGGAATTTCTGTCGTGGGCGCCGCCCCAACCCCGCCCGCTGACCGGGCACGGCATTACAGGGGGCGCCGCCCGAACCCCGCATTCCGCACGCATGGGTCACATGTCGTCTGACAACACTTCGCTTCCCTAAGCTCACGTGGGCATACCCGTGTGAGAAACAAGGGTCCCCGAAGTATTCGCCAACTCCAACATTCTCCCACTTGGTGAATACTTCGCAAATGAGGGCCTTTCCAATATCATTCTTCTTCAATCCAATCGCAGGTGGAGCACCATTCAAACTTCGCACCAGTGACGGCTTTAGTAAAGAAGTCGAACTATTTTCTACCGTGTCGACCTTTACAATCCGAACCTCTTTCTTCTCTACCTTTTCTCGGATGAAATGATATTGTATATCAATGTGCTTTGTGCGTGAGTGAAATGCTGGATTCTTAGCTAAATAAATAGCCCCTTGATTATCACATCTCACCTCTATGGCACCTTGCTCAAAACCGAGCTCCAAGCACAACCGCCGTAACCATACGGCCTCTTTTCCAAATGAGTAAGAGCCATATACTCACCTCGGTAGAAGAAAGCGCTACCACGCTTTGCCTCCTGCTCATCCAACTCAATGCAACCAAACAATGTGAAAACATATCCGCTAGTGGACCGTCTACTATCAATATCTCCACCCCAATCAGCATCTACATGGCCTACGATATCAAGCATGTTTCCATTCCCCGTACCTTCAAAACATAAAGAAAAATTCAAAGTTCCACGAAGATACCCGAAAACTCTTTTGATCGCATTCCGGTGTTCTCTACCCGGGTTAGACATGTATCGACTCAAGACTCCCACGCTTGGGCTATATCCGGACGCGTGCACACCATAGCATACATCAAGCTTCCCATTGCACTCGCGTATGGAATTCGGGCCATCTCTTCACTTCTTCATCTCGTTTTTGGACATTGTTCCGCGATAGTTTGGTCCCTAAAGGTATAGGGGTACCAACAAGCTTGCGTCTATCATATTGAATTTCTTCAATATTTCTTTTATGTATTTCTCCCCCCCTAACCACAGCTTTCCTTTTCTCACGGTCCCTCCTAATCTCGCATGCCCAAAATAAAATTTGCAGCCCCAAGTCTTTCATTTCGAACTTTTGGCCAGCAAACTCTTCACGGAATTCACCATCTTCGCACTATTCCCAATCAACAACATATCATCCACATATAGCGTGAGAATGACAAACTGACGCCCGTTCTCTTCACATAAACACAATGGTCGAATTTGAACGCACAAAATTAAGATGGAGCATGTACGTGTCAAACTTCGGTACCACATCCTCGGTGACGTTCATTTCCCATATAAAGACTTTTTCAATTTGCACACTAAATTCTCCTTTCCTCTTATTTCAAAGCCTTCGGTTGCCTCATATATATCTCCTCCTCCAAGTCCCCATGAAGGAATGCCGTCTTTACATCCATCCGTTTCTACCTCAAGATCATATGCAAATGCTATAGATCGAACAAACCGTATCGAGGTCAACTTCGCCACGGGAGAGAAAATCTCGTAATAGTCAACTCCCTCAATCGAGAGTACCCCTTGGCTACAAGCCTAGCCTTGTACTTCTCTACAGTCCCATCCGGTTTCAGCTTTCGCTTGAACACCCATTTACACCCAATTGCCTTTCTATCCTTAGGCAATTTACACAAGCTCCATGTTTCACTTTTATCAAGCGATCGCATCTCATCTATCATTGCGAGCTCCCACCGATTCGCATCATCCATAGATCTCGCCTTTTACGTAACTAGGATCATCTCCGTAATGCTCAAAGCATGAAACGTACTCAAAGCACTAAGTGAGTATCGAAGTGGTACCTTTCTTTCCGCGTCGATCTCCCGAGAGCCGGCATGCTATCTATATCCGGTCTTCATCCAATATGCATCCTCAACTTCATTAACCGAGTCCCTTGTTCGATTCAAAATCGACTCTACTAGCCTGCCTTGTGGAATCATCTTCACAGTTTCGTTATAGGACTTTCTTCAAGCACTACCACTTTCTTGGGCTCATCACCTTCGTGTGCCAACCCTGGCGTGATTCACGAAAGACAACATCCCCTCGTATACAATGGTCTTTGATTCTCGGATTCCACGCCTTATAGCCCTTGACCCCTTCCTTGTATCCGACAAATATGTTCTTCTCGGACTTGTTGTCAAGCTTACCCCGCTTCTCCTTGGGTACATGAACATATGCGTCACACCCAAACACCCGAACATGGGACGATTCGGCTTCTTCCCAAACACCGCCTCATATGGTGTACGATCCTTCACCGATGAGGTCGGTGACCTGTTCTTCAAATAACGGCCGTGGCTACGCCTCTTCGCCCAAAATTCGACCCCAAACCCGCCCAACTCAATGCATCTTGCCTTTTCTATGAGTGACCGATTTAATCTTTCGCTTACCCCATTCGCTGAGGCGTATATGGAGTCGTCTTCGCCTTGCAATACCATTATCCACACAAAATTGCTCGAACTTATCCGAACGAATTCACCTCCGTTATCCGTACGAAGGACCTTGATTTTCCCGCCCAATTGGTTTTCAAACAAAACCTTAAATTCTCGAAATTTCTCGAATACATCCGATTTACTTTTAATAAAATAAATCCAACTATATCTCGAAAAATCATCTATGAACGATACATAGTACTGGATCCTCCAATAGATGGAGTCTGAGTAGGTCCAAAAACATCGCCGTGAATCGCCTCGAAAACCTCGCTGCTCTTGTACCAAGGTGTTGGAAGCTAACTCGGTTCCGTTTTCCATGGAGACAAGTTCACGTAACCCGAAACCCATAGAGCATTTTGGAATTCCTTCTACCATCCGACTTGAAGCTAAGGTAGACATCCTTTTCACCGATATGCCCTAACCTCGATGCCACAAGCATGGACGTTTCATGTCCATCTTCCTTGGCCTCTTCGAAAACGAACCCGCTACCAATAGTCACTTGTTTCCCGAGCAGCTTGTATAATGTCCCGTAACGGACTCCTCGTGCAATCACAATAGAACCTCGAGTCATCTTGCACGAATCCTTATCACAAATTAAAATAACCCCCGAATCACCCATCGTACCGACCGATAACAAATTTCTACTCATCAAGGGTATGTGCATCACATCCGAATAGTCTTCACCGTGCCATTACTCATCCTCAGCTTCACCCTGCCACGCCCGACAATTTGAACTGTAGTATCATCTCCGAGCATGACATCCCCACCATTATATTGCTCATATTCACAAAACCAGTCTATGAGGCGCATGTGGTATGAAGCACCGTATCGATCAACCATATATCCTTGTCCTGATCGCGCCATACATGCAAAGCACCCAAATACATATCTCCCGCATCGACCTCCTTTTACCCGAGGATGATTCAGCCTTCTTTCTTAAAACTCTGGCTTGTTTTTACAAATTCCGCTTCACATGGCCCCACTTCTTGACATTTCCAAAGACTGCATTCCCTTCTCTCCCTACTCTTCGATCGCCCACGAGATTTGGATCCGGATCCTCTCGATTCGTAGTCTTATCCGCCGGCCTTCCCCGCCGCCAATGCCTCTTTACCGGAATTTCCCGATCCCTTTCTTCGTGTCTCCTCCGATAACAATGCAGAACACACACTTTCATACGATAATTCCTTTCATCATCTTGGAACTTAACACCGATTGATACGAGTTGACTAATCAATGTGTTAAAGTTATACGAATGTGCGTAAAACGAGTCGCCCTCATGCATCCGAAGATTATACATTTTTCCTCAAAAACGCCTTTATTAACCAAGACTTACTTTGATACGGCGACTCAGCTTCGCCATAGGTCCCCGGCCGTAGGTTCCCCATCACGTTTGTCGAATCGAGTCCGAGACAAAGCCGAATCAAACCCTTTGCTCTTCGATCAATTCGATTCCGCCTTCAATCTCCTTTGGATCTACCGGGTTTGGAAGTTGAATCCGTTTCCTCACCGCTTCCTTGCCTATCACGACACCAGGTTGCGCAACAGCCTTTCCGTTTCGATTGCCGACCAAAGATCTCGATCACGAGAAGATCCTCCATCTTCATCTTCCACGCATCAAACCGCTTCCGTCGAATTTTTCTATCTCAATTCGTGATCCTCCCGACATCTCGAATAAACCCTAATTCCTCGAACAACTCCTGCTTTGATACCAATTGAAGGGATGTGTCGAGAACCGAAATGTAACGATCACGCAGAAAAAGAGAGAAAATAGACGATGCACGAATTTACCTGTGTTCACCCTCAATTAGGGCTACGTGCCTGCAAAGAGATTTCACTATGTTTTCGGTTTGCCCACTCAACTCGTTACAATGATCGAAAAACGAGTAAAATATATATATGCCCCAAACGGGCCCAAACCCAAACCTATATGAAATCTCTTAATCTCGCACCATACGGCCACCCAAACCCGTTGAGGTTTCTGGGCGCCGCTCCCGAAGCCCCCGCCCGCTCACCGGCGAGCGGCAATGTCCGCCGACCGGCAATGGAACCTCGCGTGGGCGCGCCCGAACCCCGCCCGGCTGACCGGCAATGGGGCACTACGTGTCGGGCGCGCCGCCCGAACCCCGCATTCCGCACGCATGGGTCACATGTCGTCGGACAACACTTCGGTTCCTGCTCACGTGGCGTACCCGGTGTGAGAAACAAGGGTCCCCAAGTATTCGCCAACTCCAACACATGTGAGCCTACCATGGAATCCAAATTTGCACCTTGGAGAAGAGAGGACGACTCTGCGAGCATTAAGATACTCCATCTGCCTCTACAACATTATGAAGCACGCCTAGGTTGTGGACGATCGCGTGCCATTTGCATTTTCTTTCTCCACCTTTATCGACCCCCTTTAGTAAAGAGCTCTGACAACATCAGAGGGCAAGTAATGCGCTCTCAGTCTCACTGTCCAAGATTGCCTGCGCTTTTCCCTAGAGCACTTTCGGATCCTAATACGAAGCTGGCATTCACTGTCATGTTGACAAGGTCAATTGAGTGGCTGGTTGCACTTGCAAGACAGCTTTAACGAATCTACCAGTTCAGTGAAAATTCTAGTGCTTAACTCAAGAAGGTATGTTGCCAAGACTAATTTGGATAAATCCATTGCAAGACATCACAGAATGACTGAAAATGGATGCAAAAATCATTACGCTTTGTTTGTTCCCGAAAAAGTTCTACCCACTACAGGGCGTACAGAATTAAGAATCCGGAGGGCATATATGAGTAGGACTCATTATTCTGAGTGATAAATGCAAACCGTTGCCAGCCTACAGGCACAATTCAACGGCCAAAATGCAACTGTGAAGCCACCTGCGTTGCCTCTTCACCATTGTCTTTCCTTCTGGTTTTACTTTCATTTTTATCTTTTCCCTCACCTATATTGGCTTCATTATCAACTGCGCAGGTTTATCATCTATGGGACACTTTCCAACAAATTCCTTATTCAACAAATTCCTCATCACATAATCAGTTTCAATGAGCCACATTTGCATGCATTTGGAAGATATGGTTTCTGATCTGGCAAAGGGGCCCATGGTAGTAACACAACCCAGGCTCATTTATAGTCTTGTGTTGTGTGCTCTTCCCCATGACTTCCTTGAATGGTTGAGTAGAGACCTCAATCAAAATGAAGTCCAGCACTTCTGGGGTTTTGGCTCCATAAAGTTCGCATCCTGAAGAGGCTTTTCAGGTTTAATGAATTCCTTTCTCACTGGATCTGTCCCCTACTCATTTGCATGACAATTATAAAGAGCTGTGTCTCTCCCTTCTGGCGGGAATAAACTCACATCATCGGTAAACATTGTAAAGATGGCAAAAGAAGTTTCCTCAGTCGATTGAAAGTACTTTCTTTCTCGTATTCAAATTCAAAAACTTTAAAACATTGAAAGTTCTTAGGGTAACTTCCCGACATCAAATTGAAACATAGTTAGCATATGTACATCAGTGTTTATCATGAACATTTGCTGGTAAAAATAGGAATTGTCGATAAGAAGTTAACTAAGAACATTGATGTGAAGCAAATGTCAAGTTGTCAACGTACATAATATGGGCCCTCTCATGATATATTTTTCCCTTTCTTTGGGCTGGTGAACCTCAGTGACCGACATGTGTAGAAAGAACCGCAGCTTATGACCCATTACTGCAGATATGCAGATGCCAAGCAAGAGGAGGCCAGCAGTAAACTACTTAAGTTAGCAGATACTCATGATCTTCTTGACTATTCATCCTCAGTTTCCACATTATCTTCTGCAAGCTCTTCGAATTCATCAATATCATCAATAGGAATTTCTTCACTATCAGCGCCCAAAGAACCTATGACATGTAAACAAGTCAATTAGATTTATTGAGAGTCGCAAAACGGTGGGGCCTAGCTTATGTACACTGAGACCGAGTAGATAATATTTACAATATCTCTCTGCGGGCGAAGAGAGCAATCAATGGTATAAACACATAAGCTAACAGCATGCTTACCTTGGTAGATCATTGAAGCGGGACTGCTGATTGGATCCCTTGATTCTGATGTGAGATCAAGAAGGTAAGGAAGTTCCAGTAGTTGCAACAATGATTCTGTCTGAGGGTTTCGAGGCAATGCTGGAGTAGAATGTACATGTAATCATGCCAAGGGTCAGGATAATTTATGAAAGCTCAATCACATTTACTTGGTTACCATAAATTAATACCCCTTAGTTGGTGGTGATTGTGGACAACAGTAGACTACAGGTCTGAACAGGGCTTATTCACACAAGGAAATACAGCTCCAATACAACCAAATAAATAGCATAGATAAAGCAATGTGTCTTTTATGTAATACAGACTACAGTGCGGCAGACAAAAGCCTTGGGCATTTGTAAAATGTGACAATCACTGCCAAAATTCTCAGCCATTGTACTTGGTATATATAGAGCAGGATGCCCTTGAATTCTCATGGAGACATCTTGCTGAAGAATAAGGCATTCCTTAACTTTCAGAAGAAACTACTGTGGCTCTGCAATCAAAGTGTCCTGAACCAAGCATATCTCCATGAAAGAATCGTATATTGATGATAACAGCTCAACTCAAGAAGTCCAAAGTAACTCTGAATATAACAGACCATTTTTAATCAAGCTGCATTAACTCAAGGGTTTCAATGTCAAATCATAAGCCAACATAGCACTGCTAAATATATTTTTTCCAGGCAATTATCCAACACAATGCGATTGCATTCAAGACCAAGCAACCATATAAAAACGCATGGATATATTCTTGGTGTCCAAAAAGAAGTTGAGAAATCAAAGAGGAGTCATACTGGTGACCTCAAAACTCCTACCTTGTGAACCGGTAGAAGAGGATTGAGAGGGATTATGACATGGAACTGTCCTTTCAAATTCAAAAGGTCGAGCACCTCTTTCTTGAAGTCTGCTCCTGACCCATTGTCGACAATCTTGCATGTCAAGTTGAACAGCCCTGTTATAATGATTCACCAGCTAGTCATTACATACAAACAACGATGCTTGCCCACATGGATGGGCTATGCAAAGAAATTGCGAGACATGCACATTTACAAACCCAAAATCTGCACTTTTGGTGGTCAAAGGAAAGACAGAATGAAACTTCCGAGTTATTGACAGCCATTCCTCGTCATACAAAATCTCATGTGGTCCAGGCTCTGACTCAATATCAACGATCTAATAACAAAGCAACATCAGCTTCCACTGCAGAACTCGGTAAAATTGATCAAAAACTAGATCATACCTGTAAAAACTTGCGGCCTGGTAGGCACTTATCAAGAGCAAGAAAATTGGTAACTGGACCACCTTCACCGTGTTGAACAGAAGCAGCAAATTGGCAATGTAGATGGGCAGAAAACCAGTAAGTGGGCTTTAGCTCCTCCAGCAGTTGAGCAGCAGCCTTATTTCCAAGAGTCTTTTGATAGATCTGGAAAGCAATCCTCAAGCATGAATTAAGCAATTCTCCAGAGAGAGAGAGAGAGAGTAATCTTCAAGGCTTGTTAAATCATAGTGGCATCACTATCAAATATTTCTTGTTACCTCTTTCTCGAAAAATGGCTTCTGCTGAATGAGTTTCTTAGAGTTTCCACAATCAGTGATGCCAAGAGGCCAATCATGGGAAAGAAAAATATCGATCCGTTCCTCAACTTGCATAAGTTTGTGCACGTCATATTCACGAACATGGTAAACAGACCTGATGGTGTTCTCGTTATAAGGAGGCCTCTCATAGTGTCCTGTCCACAAAACGCTAACTTAGTTCAATTGTAAAGGGCATCCAGATGTATATGGGTACTGCCACATACTATATGCAACATTAATCAAACTCTGCAGTTAAGGGCCTACTTCATTTGGACAGCAGATGCAGTGCATGTACCAAGATCACTTGCATGAGTGAACAAGTGCTGCACCAATCTGTCATCTGGTTTCAATAGAATTGATCGAAGAAAAACTAACCTAAACGATAATGGCGTGCGTTATAGATTCCGGAGAGTCCACCGATACGGATGTTCCCAAACTTCACCACCCCAGCAAACCCCAAGAAGTATATGTTAGGTGCTGCCCATCCTCCATAGTACCTAGAACAACAACAAATCCACTAAGAATAATAGCCTGGAAGTGAAGAAGTGAAACCATCCAGCCAACCAGCGACATATAAAATCAGCCATACACTTAAAGTTAAATAAAGACAAGATTGAAGGCCTCCAAATGTAGGAAAGACCATATATGTCGGTACGGGTGCCACTTTTACTTGCACATGTAATTAGACAGACAGAGCAATTAAACAAATTCTAAGGGGAACTGCTGCTTCGCAACACGTCACACATTGCCAACTTCAAGACATTAACAATGAAAGATTCGAGGGGTAAAAAGAGGGAAGACACCAAAAATGTTCTAAGAGTCCAGAAATTCGAGAATAGAATCCACTCACAATTCCCACAAGTAATTGGAAGCTTCATGATTCCCGCCAATGAATATAGTCGGAACAGGCGCAACCTCCTCCCCGGAGAAGTACTTCCAAAACGAGTTCATTGCCCGATACTTCCTGGGCACATTCAAGCTCTCCAAATCACTCTCGTTCCTCACAGCCTGAATACCCATCATCGATATGACATCACGTTAATCATCTCTTCAGCTAAACATAAAATTCAAATACTTACATCTTCAAGAATAGAACTTGTCTACGCTAAAAAGAAGCCAATTTCCCACGGAGCTAAAGCGGAGTGGGATGTTTCAACTGAACTCCGGAATCGGGCATCAAACCCACATTCCGACAGGACACAAACCGACAATGCTCGTCGAAATCGAAGCTACCTGAAAGTCGCCGCAACAGAGGAGGAGGTCGACCTTGATGTTGCGCTGGCGCTCGACGTACTGAAGGGTCTTGTAGACGCTGTCGAGGTCTCCATGCATACAACCTTCGACGGCTATCTTCATCGAGGATTTCCGATGTCACCGGGATTCACAGGCGAGTGGGGGTCTAGGGTTTAAGCTTGGAACCACCAAGTCACCGTCGTCGATGGGCGGGTTTCGGAAAACCGAAGAAGGATCTGTTGCCCGCCCGGTGGGAGGCGAAACGGCGGTCGAAAGCGAGCTTCGTCTGGTTGCCTGATTGGGCTTTACAACCTTCTTCATGAGGGGCCAATACAAAGGCCCAAAATGAATTCAAACACATCCTTTATACACGGGTGATCGGTTCCAGGATGGGGGGTCGGTTCTCATCCTGCAATCAGGAGCCAGACCAGAAGAGCCGGCTCCTCATTTATGGAATCGGGAACCGGCCAACCTAGCTCTAGACCACCCGGGAACTGGACAATCCGGTTTATGAGTGGAATCTAAGAATCGACCATATCTCCGTTTTTTTTTTTCTTATTTCCTGTAAGATACAAGTATTGCTGGATAGTATAAACTGCTATACAAGTGATGTTAATAGAACAAGCTCGTGATAAGCTAAGCATGACGATCAAAACAACAACAAGTATAAATGATGAGTCGACATTACTTTTAAATTAGATTATTAGAAATTGAACTCAAATAATTGATGGAAAATCTCACAAAAAAAGGTTGGTCTAGTTGGATGGTTCGAGTGAATGGGTCCACACCTGGAATTGAAAACTTGACCGATATTTATCGATTCCAAATTTTAGGAATCGAGAATCGCCCAAAACTGGTTGGCTCGATCTGATTCTTTTGCTTATCCCTATTCTTTTCTGTCTTCTTTTCCATTACAATGTTAATTTGATACCATCCAGTTTTCTTGTTTGATAGTTCGTTTGGTGTAGCATTGTTGGTAGATTTGGACAAGTGAATGTATCAAGACTTTTTGTCCATATCAATTCCGTTGTCCCTTTGCTTGAGTTCAAAAGAGGAACCCGCAATCACCGCGATTGGGTTAACAAAATCTCCTTTCTTATGTTAAATTGAGCGCCAAGTCAATAAGTCTCGAAATGACAAATTAAAGAACTCATTACAGTTGTCTTCAATAAAACTTATAATAATTCATGGAATTCCATGTGATCTCAAAGTCTCTACAGAAGCAATGACATCTCTCGTCTTTTATCATAATTTTCATTTTCTCAGAAATTTTGATGATTTTGTAAATAATTGCCTTGTATTATCGTTTGGAAAAATGACATAAATGGTCCATGAATTTTGATTCAATATGCAATGTGGTCTCTGAATTTTTAATTTGTTCAATGTCGTTCATGAATTTTAATTCAACATGCAATATGATCCCTGAACTTTTAATTTGTTTAGTATAATATCTGAAATTGTACATTCGAATAACATTTCGGACTATTTGTTTAATTATTCCTATCATTTTTGGTAATGCACTTCTCGAAGAAAAGAGAAGTTCACAAAGAGACAACGCTGGGGTCTAGCAGCGGGGTGACGAAAATTTGTGTGGACGAGAGAAGTGCAACGATCCTCCAAGCAACAGACCAACGACCTTTCCCTTCCTTGCACTCCCTCCCCACCTTGCCTGTCTCTCCTTTTCTTCTCCTTCCCCATGGCTTCTTCTTCTTCTTCTTCTTCTTCTTCACTCATTCCCCGCCATCCTTTCCCTCTCCACCGCTCCTTCACTCTCCCATCTCCACTCCACGTCCATGCCCATGTCGCTCCTCCACTTCCACCCCTTACGGTTCCCCTCCTCCACCGCCGCCGCCGCCGCCGCCGCCGCCAAAGCTGCCTCCTCTCTCCCCAAGCTCTCTCTCACCCCGCCAGCACCACCTCTCAAGTCCATTCCTTCAAGACCCACCACCTCGAGCTTCAGACTGCGCGCAGTCTCGACGGGCTTCAGGGACGCTGCTGCTGCCTCGGTCGAGGACGACGATGCGAAGGTCCTTGTGGGTCCCGCCAGCGAGGAGGAGCGGCGGGGGGAGCGAGTCGTGGCGGACTACGACTGGACGGAGGAGTGGTACCCTCTCTACCTCACCAGCGACATCCCTGACGACGCCCCGTTGGGCCTCACCGTGTTCGACAAGCAGCTCGTCCTCTACAGGGACGGCGACGGCTTGCTCTGGTGTTACGAAGATCGCTGTCCCCACAGGTAACGCCGTCTTTTTCAGGGCCTGGTCGCATGTTGTTTTTGTGGGTGTTTGTCATTGTCTGAGCTTGATTGATGGTTATAATAAAGTTTATAGATTTGGTCTCTCGGGCTTTACAACAGACTCCTCCAGTCACAGGACAGCGGACAGGACTCCATTTTGTGTTGAATGAGATGATCTCTTCTCTTTTTCTTATCTTCTTCTATGCTAGCTGAGCAACTAGCTAAAAAGGAGATGACTTCGAGCCTTCTCTCCTTCATATCATGAGAAGAAGCAATGAACGATGATCATCCATGAGTGTTGTAGCTAGTTTGAAGCATTTAAGTTGCTGAGCTAACTCGGATATTCTAGCTACACTGTGGTTCTTAAAATGCAAAGAGTTTGGGAAGTGAACTGTAGTGTTGGTCGAGGCCTTGCTGTCTCATCTGCTTCGCCTCTCGATATGGGGCTTTAGCTATTTAGTCGGGAACAAGCTCCTGTATTTCCTATCTTGACAATCTATCTAAGCTGGATTTATAGATCGCTTGAATGTTCATTACAGTTCAAGGAAAGTGTTCCGGGTCTAACAGTCTTAAGTGTCAACTTACATCTCATTGCGAGGATGACAGTTTTCACTTAACTTACATGGTAGTTGGTGTTTAAACCTTTTGATGGGAAATTCCTTCCTCAGGTTGGCAAAGCTATCTGAAGGTCAGCTGATTGATGGCAGGTTGGAATGTCTGTACCATGGTTGGCAATTCGAGGGCGAGGGAAAATGTGTCAAGATACCTCAGGTTTGTCCTTGCTTATGTTGACCTAGTTCTTTTGTTCCAAGAAATGGATTGCTAGCACACTCTAGACTGATGGAAACTGAAAGTAATGTTTCTTTATTAACGATACAGCTGCCAGCGGATGCGAAAATTCCGCGATCAGCTTGTGTTAAGACATATGAGGTGAGGGATTCTCAAGGAGTTGTGTGGGTGTGGATGTCTCAGAAGACACCACCAAACTTCAGCAAGATACCTTGGTTTGAGAATTTTGCGAGGCCAGGCTTTCAAGACACTTCGACTACCCACGAGCTTCCATACGATCATTCCATACTTCTGGAGAACCTAATGGATCCAGCCCATATCCCAATTTCGCATGATAGAACAGATTGGACAGCAAAAAGGGAAGATGCCCAACCCCTATGTTTCCAAGTAACTGAAAGGACTGACCGAGGATTTGCAGGATTGTGGGGTAAAGAGAAAGATGAGTCATTGCCCAACTTTTTGCGCTTTGAAGCACCATGCGTTCTTCAAAACAATAGAGAATTTGTCGACAAGAATGGAGTAAAACACTACTTCACTGGTCTATTCCTCTGTAGACCAACTGGACAAGGGAAGTCCATGCTTATAGTGAGGTTTGGAGGGACGATGAGATCTCCTTTGGCTAAAGTGTTCCCTAAATGGTATTTCCACCAGAATGCAAGTAAAGTATTCGAGCAAGATATGGGATTTCTTTCATCGCAAAATGAAGTTTTGATAAAAGAAAAAGTTCCCACAAAGCAGCTCTACCTTAACTTGAGGTCCTCAGACACGTGGGTAGCCGAGTACAGGAAGTGGATGGACAAAGTAGGGCACGGAATGCCTTATCATTTTGGGCACAACACCATTTCCTTGCCGAAGGAGCCTGCTGTGGTGGAACATGCACCCGCTGGTTTGGTCGCCAGAGCCTCCGCGTCGTCACCTGCCAAGGGAGGTGTTGGGACAATGCACGCTCCTAATTTGGCCAACAGATACTTCAGGCATGTGATTCATTGCAAAGGATGCAGAGATATTGTGAAAGCGTTTGAAGCTTGGAAAAATGGGCTCTTTGCTTTGGCTGCTGCATTGACTGCATTGGCTATTTTAGCGTCTGCTAGACAGTGGAAGGTGATACTCTTGGCGACGGCAACGGCATGCTTCGGTGGAGTTTATGTGTGTTCAGCAGCCATTGCTATGAATACTACAAACTTTGTCAGGACTCACCGGAGATTGTGAGTCCTTGATCGTTGCACATTGTGTCTCCAGTTATTTTAGGATGACGGGAAGTACTTTCACATAATATGTAATTGGTGTAGCAAATTCGTATTTAGTTACTTAAATATGACTGCGATGCTCTTCCTTTGACAATGATACTTGGCAATTGCTTGATTTTCTGTTTGATACCGTTATGGTCTTCCATTCGACTCTAATCTGGACCCATCTTCCTTTAGCGACAGTAAATTCGTTGAAGTTGCTTTAGGTGAAGATTATGCAATGGCATGTCTCTTTTTGCAAGTTCTAGGGATGAAAGTTGGGAACTTTAAAGAGAATACCGCTACGACGGGAGGAAAAAGGGTGTGCAAGTTTTAGGGTGGACAGGTATTTCGAAGTATTTAAAACCTAGTTGGTTCCAAAAGTTCTAGTGTGCCATGTACTACCTGTATTCAAAAATATCAATTGAATAAAACGTTATCAAAATTCTAGTTATCAACACATTGAACAGTCAACACAAAACATGTGGATTACATTTCAATATACATGTTCATGTCTGATTGTACTATAATCCTATAAAGATAATAACATCGAAAATTAAAAATAAAGAATCAAATCAACTTTCAGCCATTGATAAAATTTGTTAGTTTTACATGAAAGCATAAATGAAAGCATATTCCACTTTACAGAGAGTATGAACTAAAATGAATTGCCAGAAGCATAACCAACGGAGACACCTTGCACAAAGTACATGGCACAGGATAGGGGTGGATACAGGGTGACATGACTCCAAATCCTGAAACCTACCCTGTTCTCACCAATTCCGAAACTCCGGATCTCAGAATCTATTCTGTGAGCTCTAATATCCTCTCGGAACATACTCGACCTCTACCGGTTCCACAGATTTTACAGGTTCTCACGCAGGATTTTATAACTATACCATTCAACAGTAGCCAGATCAAGTGTCTCGTCAATTTTACGACTGCAGAGAAAGGTGTATACTCATCTAATCATTAGTTTGATGAACATACTAGAATAAATCATTTTCAACAGGGGAAAAGACAGCCCCTCCTTCGTGCATGAATACAAGCACCATGGCCAACCTTCAAATCTACATCTAAGAGAGCATATTACAAAAGTAATAAACAAGAACACGATATCTAATATCAAAACTTTAGCCATTTCTTTTCTTTCTCCTTGGACATGATCGCATGAGATGCAGAAGCGTGAGCTGCCTCGGTCTCGGCCAAAGCTCTGCGCGTTTCAGCCAACTTCCTCATGGCCGCCTCACACACTACCTTGTCGTTCTTGTTCCTAACGACCATCTCTTCAAGCTTCTCCACTCGCATTCGCAATTCCTTCACCTCGTCATCATAAGCAACAAGAGCCTGCCTATCTATTTTCTTCTCCCCAGAATCTTTAAGTTGCCGCTTCTTTGCAGACTTGCCGTTCAACGCCTCCCCATGCATTGCAAGTTGGGTATTAATCAGACTAAAGACATCTGGTCTCCTTTCTTCTGCATCTTTTGCCGCCCGAACTGCCGCAGCAAACTTCTTCTCGCGTTTCCTTTTTCCACCTCTGCTGCGCTTCTTTGCTTGAGTTTCATGATCTTTGTCTTGTTCATTAGACTTTAGGGCATCGTCTAGTGATTGTTTTGGTGGAAGGACTTTCACGGGAATGGGTTCAACCATTCCTTGCCCAGATCTGCCTAAACCCATCCCTTCCCGATAGCCCATGTTGGCCATCATCTTGGATGCCATGCCACGTGTGTGATTCTCCCACTTAGCAAAAATGGCAGTTTCTGTCTGGATGCCCCTCTGTTTTGCAGTGCTTTCAAGAAATCCTAGACCCTGAGGGTCCTCTTCTTCATAGTCACTAGAGTCGGATTGCTCCGAGCTTGAATCACTCTCTTCTTCATCGCTGATTTCCGCATACTCAGATAGCGCTATAAAATCAATGCCAAGCTTTGCAGAGCTTCCATCATCCCGGAAAACAACTTGTCCAAGACCACATTCATCATCCCATGATTCAAGCTCAGCTTCTCTCCATACACCAGCTTTACTATCTGACGTTGCCCATATACTGGAACCCACCAATGACTGCTCCCAACTTGTTGGGACAAATTTCTTTAAGGATGACAATGGAACATCTACTCCTGAGACATACATGAATGTCAGGTAGGAGAAGCTATAAAAAAAGATGCAATAAAATATCAGGATTTAGATTGGTATCATCTTTGGGACAAGATAAAGCTACCAAGGTAAAAAAAAGGAACTATATATCTTGCCAAAAAAGCAACATGGAAAAACTGTCAGACAAATGCAGATGACTATGGTGACAAGAATCTGTAGTGATAACATGGGAAATTTATAATTTTGCCAGACACTTTGCAGGTTGTGTTCGTTCTTTTAGTTGCAACATACCATGTGATAAGCGGCAGCTAGTACCAAACCGACATCGTTGCTGCAGAAAGAACTTGCATATCTGCACTTTGGTGGTCTAGCATTAGTGGTCTCATAATAATTAGTCAAATTTCACACCATAATCGAGAGCTTTTGATCCACTATGTGACACTAATCACGGTTGAGAAAACATGAAGAATTGTTCTTTTGGCACATCCACCAAAGAACACGCAAATATTTCATCCGAGAGCCGTATAGATAGGTCAAAGGAAAACTTATAGAGAAGACACCTAAAAGAGAGAATCATTAACGCAGTTATTAGAATAGTGTCAGGTCCAATAAAAAAGACATGCATATGCCCAATCAGAACTTAAAGATGGGTGTTAATAGAATCTACAACCAGTGCCTAACATCATAATCTTCGCAATGAACAGGAAAGGTTATTCAAAAAGCCTCAGAAAAGTTGAGAAGCACTTTAGACATTTCAGCAGGACTGAGAATTGGCCCATATTCTCATTCAAATTAACATATTTTTTTAATGTTTAGGATGTGAAGTGGGCATTTTATTCCATTTACCAAACTAGTTTGATTCAAAGTACAACCTGATCCAGACAATACAGGACACAAAAGCACAACAAATTGTGGAGACCCTCACGATAAATGGTAAAGAGGAGATAGGCTAGAATTCCTTTTCTTTCTGCTGAAACACTACCCAGAGTGGCTGATACTTGCATTTGCACATAGATTGAAAAAAATGGCGGCAAACTTTCATGCATAGTAGGAATGAACAAAATCTACAAATAAAAAATTGTGTATCCCAAAGATTATACAGGTTGTGCAAGAGCTTCAATGTATGGTTCATGCTCTTTGTCTTATTTATCCTATTTGCTCATATGGAAGTTTGCTTCGCTTTATTCGTCACAATCAATTAGTTGGTTTCACGTTATCTATATAAGAATAACATTTTGGCGAACACTTGCTCAAGAACTTTCCACATAAGATACTCAGAGGCTAGGTTAAGAATCCCCCATTGCTTTCATACTGTGGCCAGCAATAGCAGTTAATCAGCTTAAATTATCTTAAAACAGAAGCACCTACAATGTCATTCTAACAGCCTACTAGTCCACATTAGGGCAATGGCAGACTGACCAAGCTAAAATTACTATCAGGATCTCAATCGGGGACTTAAATAGTGACATAAACTACTAATCGTATTTTTCTTTAGTTGTCCTAAGTTGATTTTGCCGAAACGAACATAATACATAAGCCTATGCTTATAGTAATGGGGGAGAAAAGAAAGAAAGCTGCACTGACCAGCATATTTTCAGTTGTCGGCGTGAGGAAAGAGATTTTAGCCAACTGTGAGCCCTCCAATCCAACTATCTGACCATTATACCAGTGACCATCCCTGTGGCGAAATCGACATTTTGACCCAATGGAGTACCTTTGCTCCTCCAGAGGCTCAGCTTCAACATCATTTGGATCCAAAGACTCCACCTTAACATTATCAACAGCAGGATCTGACTTCTGTACCACCGAATCAACTTCCCGTAACAAACGTGCACGCTTAAGGTGAAAAAGCCCTTCCTCTGCATCTCTTATTGCCGAAACCAGCTCTTCATGAACCTGGGGAAGCAGAGTATATTAAAACCCAAAGGAAAAGAAAACACAACTAGCACCCTCTTTCCATGCATGAGGACCTTACACACATTAACTTTCATCATACAAATAGAGTTCATCTTAAAGCATCGACCACTAACCAGGATTCACTGATGCAGCGCACAAAAACTAGAGCCAACAAGTATCTTTATCCAATATAAACATAACTCAAAATGCATACTCCCTCAGTAACTCGCAACTAGAAATAAGCTGATCATAATTATGCCCAACACAATAGTACCTCTAACATAATACAATCTCTCCCTGGTTGCTCTTGGGTTTCTTGATCATTTATCAAAAAAATGTTCAAAGTTGTTACTTGGGGTTCTCAAACAGCTTTCACTGAGCTCAGCACCATTCATACATTATAAGCGAAGCAATAGAGCATACAAAACAAACAGGCCCAGATGAAAAGCAACTTGCCAAGACGCATATCACCCGATAAACAATCATACACAAACAAGAAGTAAGCTTTCAAAAACCCAAAAGAGATCAACTCCAAGGACCCAAGAAATGGTGCCCAGAAAGGAAAAAACCAAAACCAAAACCAAAACCAAGAAGATGAAGGAGGGAGAAGAGGGGCGCACGGCGAGGATCTCGGGGTTGGCGGGGTCAGAGGCAAGGGCTTCGTTGAGCGAAGAAAGAGAGTCTCGCTGCTCCTCCAATTGAAGCTCCAGCTGAAGCTCCAGAACTCTCTCTTCTTCTTCGTCGCTCGCCATTTTGCTCTTCTTGCTTTTGCTTGCTCACGGTGGATGAGATGAATTCAACGCCCGTGCGGAGATCGCCAGGTTGAAGGAGAAGGGAACGAAACGACGGGCCGTCTAAGCTTAGTGGGGCTCTGGGATCCGTACACCACGTAATTAAACAGTTTTAATATGATTAACGTTTTTTCAAATAACAAAAATGATCCATCAATTTGATTCAATATATAATATAATTTTTAATTTTTTTTTATCATACAGTATAGGGACTAAATTTTAGGAATTTTATTGAACAAAGTAAAAGTTCATGGACAATATACATATTGGGCTAAAATTTATGGATCACATTGAATAAATTTAAAGTTCATGAACCACAATATACATTAAGCATAAATTCGACATTATCCCTTTTCTCGTTTTACGGCCATATGGATTTTCAATAATTTTACAATTTTTGTTTTCTTTCATGGTATAGAAAATACGGAACGGCCAAGCCAAATTAAACCTAACATTTAGAGAGAAAAAAAAATTGGAGTTTAGCAATGATTTTCTTTAGGGAATTTATGATTATATTAGTAATCAAGAACAACCAAGGCCCAACGTGATAATTAGCAAATCAAATTGGCCGAACTTCGAATTCCATAATCAGCTGGGAACGATATTTAGACATTGATTCGCTAATTGCATACCGAAATGATATTTATTTGCTTGTCTATGTTTAGGGAAACAAGTGAGTAACTGACCCGAGAAAGAAAATGATTCATCCCGAGTACATCCACCTTTCTTACAGCTGGTTTTTACGACCTCATTACAAGGCGTCGTAACAGTGCTGGTACCATAGAAGTGCCGCAATTGTCTATCGTCTCTTCGAATTCTCAAGATTTGATATCATAACTCGATGATATATAGAATCTACACAGATACAACTATAAGGCAGTGTTGAAGATAGATTACATAAATCATCCTGCATGTGTATCGACTCAGAGCCCATTCCCTTCATGATCTCAGGCTCCTAAAGGTCAGAGGTGATGCTTCTCACTCGGATTCAAATTCAGAGCGATATGAAGTGATCCCTTAAGACCAACTCTGGATCTAGATTACCTTATAGGCTGCACGACCCTGTTTGACACGAGGTCCTGGCTTACGCATCCCGACCTCGCAATTTCAAGTCAACAGGAGATTCCTCTACATGAATTCAGAAATCATGTGAAGCCGGCACATGATCCATCCCATAAAGCTAGATAACACAATGCCCTTCATTCAGAATTTCGATCCTATGGGCAATATGAGCACTTTCACTTGAGAGGCTCCAAACTCTAGTACACAGATTTTCAGTTTCAATCTCCAAGACAAATTTTTTTTGGCCGTTCACCGGCAACAATGAATACGCTGAGAAAGAATAATACATCTGATTTTATAAGATATCTTACAGGATACACATCCATGTGAAACCTGAAACGGATGGTGTGCTCTTGAAACAACAAAACTGTGTCCTAACTCTCTGATTTTAGACTGTGAAAAGGGAAAAGAGAACAGCTAAAATGGTAAAGCTGAGGTAGTTTACAAAGCCATGGTACATTCGCCAAGTAGTACGTCACTACTTCGAAGTGGTAGGCTCTCCCAACCACTTGGCTCGAAACCCCGTCCCCTTACAGTCTGAGCAGCACGTTGAACCCTACAAAATTCATGATCACACCCTTAAGAACTGCACTTGATTGTCCCTCTTTGATATTGCATGAACTAGATTCTGTAACATTAGCATTCTTTTAATTGAGCCATACACTAACCTTTCCAGCACATATGACGCAGCTTGTGTTTCTTGAAGGGACTTGGCAGAGCATGTTGTCTCCAAGGATGAAGAAACCCGTACCTCCACACCATTTGCATTCTACATGCCCCTTCGAGTTGCAAGAGGAACAAGCTACCGGCCTAGGTTGCTGCATGCATTATTGAAACAATATTATAAGATCTGAAGGTCACATAGTCCTTTTAACAATTAAGAAACGCCATAACCCCGTTTAGCTGCATTTGTTCAGACAAACCATCAAATCCTCTAACCTCCAAAGAACGAGAAAAGCTTTAAGCACATTTTCTTACATATAGCAAACTTTCTCACAGATAACTTGTTTCTAATATGCTTCGCAAGTTATGGAGTACTAGTCTTCTTTAACAAAAATGCATCATAGGGGACTCCGGGACTCTCTTGCCCCTCACCAATAAAATTGTTCCCCAAAGAACCCGATGTTCAATCAAGTTTACAACATTCTTACAGCATGTAGTGTCCAACAGCAGCAAGTTCAGCCTATGATATATTTAATCCAAAATAAGGGCTTCAATGAAGCTGAAAGAGTAGAAAGTACAGTCCCATAAGTCACAGGAAGCATAATCAAATGTCATAACCCTGGAGCGCAAATACCAATCTCAAACAATTAACGGATGCGCAAGTAACTGGTGCAACAAACAGGAGACAGGAACTATGATCTTGTTAATAGATAAATTGAGGGCTATTCAAAGTTAGATTAGAAGACCACTCTCTTCTATCATAAAATGTTTGTATGAGTCATGGCTATATGTATCGTGTAGTGCTGCAACAGCTGTAAAAAGATGGTGTTCGAGAACCATTAAACAGTTCTTCAAGCATTCTTGCCCAGCAACTGCTAACTTACAAAGTGAACAAAGAGCTTGTCATAGCAGGATCAAGGAGGAGTGAGAATATAAGGAGTTTTTGGTCTTCTATTGAGGAGATTTCTGCTCAAGCAAAGCAAGACGTGGTTTCTTGGCAAGGGTAATTCGATGCCGATATTGCAGCTCTCTCTCCGGGACATCGACATGATTGAACAATCTGAGAATTGTTCATGCTAAATGCTAATACAGTGTCGCTCGTGCAATTCAAGAGAAGATAAGACCACTTACATGTTCAATAACCCTCAGCAAACTAGACACCACATACCCATCCAGAGACCTTAGCAATACTCCAGTATAAGAGTTCCACATTTACACAACTTAGACTACCCACTAAGCAATAATAATAACAACAATTCGAGTAGACTCGATACTCGATTCATCCCACTCGTTCAGTCAATTCAATTCATCATCGCAGCATGCTCGTGCGGAAATTATCTCGATTCAACATAAGGGATCCCTTATCATTCTAAACTCTTCCAGGAAATATGCAGTGCAAAGAAATTACCCCTCAATTATAACATCCAAAACGATTGAGCAACCATAGAAAAAATGAGATATATTCTGTTCAACGAATTCAATCTTACACCAAAGGCCCGAAGTTAACATGCTCAATCACTCTTGAAACTCAAACAGTACATGCAAAAAGATCATACACAGAGACATACAGGCACACAAGAAACCTCAATCAAGGCATACAAAACCAAAGGGTACCTGAGAAATCAACCAGGCCTGCTCCATACGCTTAACGAAATCAGAGGAGCTCTCATACGAATCCACCGTTGAAGCTCTCACGCCAACGAACCTAGACCTCTTGCCCCTCGCCGTCGCACCATGAGGTGAAATTACACAGACGGCATTTCGACGGGCTTGCGAACTCCCGCAATCTACGGATGATTTGGGCACAATCAAGGGTCTGCAACTACAACAGCAGGCGCAGCTCATCATGTGGGTCTCTGAAAAATCTCAAGGATTTGCTCGAAGAAGCCGATTTATGGCAGAGAAGAACGGAAAGATCAAAACTTTCTCGGTGATAAGCTTGGACGATTCCCGTGGGCGAGCGGAGGCGAAATCCTAACGAATGTTCGCCAGTTTTTTCCTTGCGAAGAAGAGAAGATTTAACTGTGAGCGGACGCAAACGTTGTCCTCGGAACCGCTTTTGTTCCGACCTCCGAGAAAAATCAAAGCTTTTGGGATGACGATGACGATTTTTCTTTTCCACAATTTGGGCTGCGGTGATCGGTTTCAAAGTGGGCCGATTCTCAATTTCTTGGTCTGAATCCATCAGGAACCATTCCAGTTGGGTCGAAGAACCGGCCATATATTCTTCTTTCTTTTCTTATTCCCTACAAGACTGTAAATATTGTTACATAGTATAAACTACTACACAAGTACTATGAATTAAACAAGCTCGTGATAAGCTAAACATAATGATCATCTACACAAGCAAAGCTATAATGATCATCGAGAACCAAATCCTAGAGGCATCGAGCCGCGAGGGAGGCGTGAGCACTGCACGACCGAGACTGAGAGAAGCAAGAGTGAAAGGCATGAGCGATAAACACGCCTAAATGAGCTCGAGCGAGAAAAGAGTGGAAATTTGATTTTTAAAAATTTGGAATAATAAGAATTAAAAAAAGTGGTCCAGGTGAGAGTGGTCCACACTGGAGTTGGGAATTGGACCAATATTCACCGGTTCTAAATTTTTTAAACCAAACTGGATCTCTCGAGAATTGCCCAAAATCGGTCGATTCAAGCCTGTTCTTTTGCCCATTCCTAATTTGGGCTTTGCCAGGGAAGTTGGAAGTCGAAAAGCTTGACACTCGACATAACATGGTGGGTTCATGCTTCGCATTTTCACATCTCATGGGCTTCTTCAACTTGGGCTTTGAGATTAGATTTTGCTCGATGCCTGTTACAGTGTCCTACCAAAACATCCAAGCTAGGATTTTTTGGTTCTTGCACAATCTGATGCCACGAGAAAGTAGTCACGCCGGTCCCTCTTTCCAGCCCGTAAAAATCTACATACACGGTGTTAGATGCATGACATATATCGTGTATGATTGCGAAAGTTGTTGCTAATGACATATGTCCCGAATTCACGGAATCTATATAGAATTTTCATCACATAAATTGTGCGTCCGATAAAATTTTGTCAAATTATTTTATGGAAAGTGACTCCATGCAAATACTGTAGGCTTGTGTGCTTCTAATTTAAGCAACGCGAGATATATTTTGATGATAATATCCAATCTTTTTCAAGGATTTGGGATATATTATATCTTGTAGGGATGGAGAGTGGGATGAAGGACAAATCCACCTTCCAAGTGAGGGCTCTGGAGTCAACGCCCGACCCTGAGTGGTTTGGATTGTGGATTCAAGCCCAGTATTATTTCATATCTTCGTTGAGATTGTAAAGTGCAAAAGGGAATAGGAGAGTGGAAATGCAGACCCACTCACTTTGGAGAGGTCCAAATTCACTCGAGGGCATCATTCATGGAAACTTTGGTAAGTGCCCCCCAACAACTAACTCTACCCCGCATAAAATTTTAGCAAAAAGAAAATCTCTATGTATTGATAATTAGACTTGTCAAAATGGATAATAAATTTATTTCTTAACTCATAATTGATGGGCTGAGTTGTTAGATGGGTCAGTTATATTTAGCAAATAAGTTATAAATGGATTTAAGATGGTAAAGCAAAAAGTAATAAGGTTTCAAATGGATACATAATTTACTTAGACCTAATTCACCTCTGACTCTCTTTCATCATCACTCGATCTTGCGCTCTCATCTCTGTTTGAGTATAAATTTTTCTAAATTTGGTTAAATACGAAACTGTTTCAGCATTGTGAGTCGGGTCGGGTATGGATCGGTCGGGTATGAGTATGGGTCACTAAATTTATATTGCGTGGAAATGGGTCGAAAATGGGTCAATTTGGATCGGACTATTTTTTATTTGACCCATCTGTTTAACTGGTCGGTTGATAATATTTAAAAAACGACTTTGACTCTTCATATGGAACATATTCTAAAATGTGGCAATTGAGCTCATTTCATCAAAATAAGGCCTGTCAATCTCTAGATTACGACATTTGCCTAATCCCTTTTTCGAGCGAACAAAAGCGAAAGGATCGTCTCAATTACTTGCCTTCATTAACCTACATTTTACCTTTCTCTGCATTATTCTTGAGGGGGGAAATTACTAAAACAAGCGAGAAACGAGGTTCTGAGTCTCGTTCTATTCTCTCTTGGCATGCAAAGAAAGATCACTCTTTCTAAGCATAGCTATGAAAACGAGGGTCACAACCTAAGACCTTTTTGGACGGTGGATAAGAGGCTAAATTCCGTTTGAACTTGGGATGGACGGTGAGTCTTCCCATTCTAGATTTTCAAATACCCCATGAAAAGAAAGTCACAGTCCATGGCATGTGTACCACATGCTCTGCTCAATGCAAAAATAAATTGACCCTTTTCTTCCAAACTATTGATTGATCAAAGGATCAGGTAACGTGCACCATCATCTTCCAAGAAAAGAGATGGGTCCGAAAGCAAGACCAGTATGACCATGACTGGAGAAGAGTTGAACTAATGCTGATTGGTTCTTACGGTCTTTCCTAATATTTGAGTCTTAGGGTGCGTTTGGGAATGGCTTTCGCAAGGCAGCTTAGGACCTGCTGCCTTGGGCTTTTAGCTTTCTCAGCATGTAACACTCCCGAATAAGTAAAAAACATTTCTTCTAAAACTACCCTCATCTATTTTTTGATTTTTCAGTTTTGCCCTCGTTTATCACTGTTCATCGTCTTCTCCACTTAGCTCGGCAACATGGTTGTGAGGGGATGGCAACAGGCCGGAGAGGGGCTGGCATGGTCGCACAATCCAGCGACCGTCGCCTGGGGTTGCACGGCCGCCGTGATGGGCCACGCGACCTAGGCGAGGGCCGCCTAAGGTCACGCAACCTAGACGGCCCTCACCGGGAACTCGCACGACCTCGGAGAGGCACTGTGTGATTCAAGCGAGAGGTCATGCTACCCAGATGACCCTCGAGGGCTGTCGACGACCCAGATCTGGCACGACGCGGTCTGCACGACGCGGTGCCAGATCTAGGTAGCAGGCGACCCTCGCCTGGGTTTCGTGACCCTCGTCAGGGGTCGCTCGACCCTAGGCAGCCCTCATCGATGGTCGCCGGGGACTGCCTAAGGTTGTTCGACCTCAGACGATGCCGCCAGCACCAAATCTGGGTTGTTGGCAGTCGCCTACCCTTCACTGGCTCCAGCAAAGGGTTTGAACTTTTCTTTTATTAAAAAATAAAAAAATTGCATTGCAAGAATAATTTTCCAAACGCTATTTTATCCAAAGTTGCTTTGCAATGGACTTTTAAGTTACAACTTACCGAATACAATTTGCATTTTGAAAAATTCCTTTAACTTAAAATCTTTTGCATTTTTTCAAAGACTTTTCCCCAAAGTGTTCCCAAACACAACCTTAGACCTGTTGAAGTAGATGACAATGAGATTCTCTCTAATCAAATTTTAAAAACCAAAAGAATAGATGCTTAAAGAACCGAGGATACATCAAATCACCTTTAGTTATGTCACTTATTATTCTCGGAACTTACCTTTTACCTAACAAAGACATACCATTCATATGGACACCACACGAAAAAAAAAAAAAACAATAAAGTACCGCGAATTGGTAAGCTTGAGCAAGATTATCTCACGTTGCTTGTTTATTTGATCATTGATATTGGTGTGATCCTCATCTAGCTACCAACTTTAAGTTGAAAGGAAATACATAATGCAAGAGGATCGGTATTTATATCGAGCTTGGAGCAGATTTTCTTCCTCTCATTTTGCATCTAAATGAGTTGGGTTTGCAAGATCATCTTTCAAACTCGAGTTGAGTTCAAAGTTAAGCTCATGGGGGTCCAATCGATTTGAACCAATTTCTCGACCTGAACTTATCACCATCCAAGCGATCTGTTTGTTGCAAAAATTTAATAGCAAGGCCGTTTGAATGCAAAATTCCAGATGAAAGCCAGAATAGAAAGTTGGCAAAGCTAGTTTTCCTTTCCCTTTGAACTTCTTAACGGAAAGTCACACTTCCTTCATTGCGAGCGAGATGTTTATGAGCATTGCATTCATTCATCTCCAAAGCTCGTCCCCCCGTTGTCGGTTCACTTTCAGGCAACATAAATTGCACCACCTTCAATCAGACATGAGAAACGTTTCGCGTTGTTCATCATCTTCCTCTTCATCATCGTCGAAGTGACAGGAGGAGCTGGTGTCCGACGTGGGGCGCACCCATTTGCTCCCACGGCCGAGACGAGACGGTGGTGGCTCCAGCACATCAAATTCACACACAAGTTTTGAATGGCTCAAAACACTACCGGCCAAACACAGCCAAACCCTTTGCTCTTTGCTCTTTGTGCCTCGGTTGCTCCTCCACCTCGCGCTTCAATAAAGCTATTTTTTTTCTCTTCAATTCCTACTCTCTCTCTCCCTCCCTAAATCCTCTCTTTGTGGTTACAAACCCCTCGCTGGATTTTCTTTCGTACTGTCATTTCACACTCTTCTTGCATGCCCAGTTATAAAAACCCTTCCTTTCGGTGGACCCTCTTCTCTTTCGGTCTCCACCGCGCTTCCACTCTGTTTCTCTGTGCCTCTGGCTAATACCCATTTGGTAAAGACCACCATGGACTGATTAACCCAGGTGAAAAAGCAACTATTTTGACACCCTTTGGATCGCTGAAAAGACCGACCATGAATCACCCTTCGACGGTGCATCAAGAACCCGGTGTTCTCTCTGATTTGGTGTCCCGGTTGGGTCACTTCGCGTTCAACTCAAACTCGCGCCCTTTAAATTCTGATGGGTACTCTTCGTTTTTGTCTAACTATCTCTACTTCGACGGTTCGATCGGTTTTAAGAGGCCAAAGATTTGTTCTTCCTTGAGTTTGAGCACCAGAGGCAGTGCTTCGAGCATTCGCCGGTTCCTGAGCGACTTCAATAAGGCTATTAGGTTCCATTGTGAGAGAATACCAATTGGGTTCGCTTCCGTTCAGGTTGATTCAGGCAACGGTAATGGTGATTGTAGTCATAATAATGGGGATAGTGATAATGGGTTAAGATATGATGGCTGTGGTGTTTTGGTGGATGATGGGGTACATGTCAACGGTGTCGAGGCTGATATCCCAAAGAAAGTTCTCATTTTAATGAGCGATACTGGCGGCGGCCATCGGGCTTCTGCAGAGGCTATCAAGGCAGCTTTTCATGAAGAATTTGGGGATGATTATCAGGTCAGTATTGGTGGATTAACTTTGAGGACTTACTTTCATTATTCAGATTTTGTTTGGTTGCCAAGGGATCATGAACAATGCCTTGCCTGATCGACTTCTAGTTTGTCCTGAATAAGCGGGTCGGGTCAGTATTGGTGGATTAACTCACAGGACTTAGTTTCACTATTCAGATTTTGTTTGGTTGCCGAAGGATCACGAATAATGCCTTGCCTGATCAACTTCTTGCTTGTCCTGAATAAGTGGGTGTAAAGCTAATGCACTCATCTGGCTAATATTGTCCTAAGTCCGTGACAGGAAAAAGGTTACACCATGTCAAGTTTATTCCTGTTAATGTTAAAATTAATTCTACTTGCAATGATTGTCTAATTTTAAATGGATTAAGTTATTACATGGAAGTGTTGATAAATATGAATGGCTAATAAACCGTGGGAGTTTAGCATACACATGAGATTCATTTTATTGGAGTATGGTAGTTGCTGAAGGAGTGTAAAGTAAGGTTGACTTGATTCTAGATTGTTGAGTCTTCAAGTATGAGGTCCGAAATCAACCACAGACTTGGCGAATGCTCAACAAGGTGGCAGGCACTTCGTATGTCTGATGGAAACAAAAGAAATAAAGATCCTTTTGTGACAACAAAAGCTGCATGTGGGATTTAAGTCAAAAGTGGACAAAAGTTTTTATGTGTTTCTCCTCTCTTCATATCCACAATCTTTCACTGGCTTGCAAATTCGCTGACCAAAATGATTTTTAGGGAAAATGATGTGTGTCGCAAATGGCAGATTAGTCGAGCAAATATGTTCTGTAGTAAAGAGTTCTCATTGCAGGTATTTGTTACTGATTTGTGGTCAGACCATACGCCTTGGCCATTTAACCAGTTGCCTAGGAGCTATAACTTCTTGGTGAAACATGGGCCCTTGTGGAAGATGACCTATTATGCAAGTGCTCCAAGAATTATTCATCAATCGAACTTTGCTGCAACTTCAACCTTTATAGCTCGGTGAGCTTCTGTCATAGGCATGTGCTGCCAATCTTCCCCGCGTCAACTTTATCTCGCTTAATCTCTTTCATATATGCTAACACTTACTCTTGCTGAGCCTTTGGTCCCGCTACTACTAGGCATCTGCAGATATTGTTCATACTCAGTGGAAGGCCAAACCTTGATGGACTAGGAGTAGAACTAGTAACTACAGCCTTGCAAGCTTTTGCTTTTGCAGAAGTACCTCAAGTTTCTGTTGGTGTATTTTCTGCAACTATGGTAGCTAATATGTATACCACATTGAATTCATGTATAGGCACACTGTGATATATAAATGGCATGATTTAGCAGAATATGTTTTGTCATTAGTTCTCCTAGTCCGACTCTTTTGCTTCATGGAAGTAAGGTATCGTAGCTCTCCTATATCATCTTCTCTCCAATTTCATCTGAGTTGGGATAAAATCTTTTCTACTCTTGCTGATAAACGAGTACTAGTTTATTTGGGTAACTTCGCGAGATAATCCATGTTGTATAATTATATTTGAAAATAAGAGGTTGATCTCCTTGCTTCTCTCATGATACAATCCTCTTCCCGCTGAGCCCTTTTTGTCGTCAATACAGCCCTTGTAGCAGCACTTTCTAGCTGTAGAACAAGTTCCTCTATGGACAGTAGCAGGATAAGTATCCTCATTCCCACTGAAAGTCACAGCCCTGGTATAATAATAAGTCCTACTGTAAGCCATTGGCCAGCCTGTAGGAGTTGTGTTGGACAATGGGAGGATCCTCTTTATTTGATCTATTAATTTTGACCATCTTTCTTTGAAGATTTGCAACGAGTTACTTCAGCCAATGGTCGAGCTCTTCACTATCCTTTAAATCTGATTCTTCAAGTTTGAAGAATTAAAGATGACGAGATTAATTACTTTTAGAGCATGTCCTGTCAGCTAATAGAATCATTTGCTGCCAGTTAACTTCAATTTGTGGCTGAATTAAGGAAACCAAAGGCAGATCTCCAAATCACTTCTTACAAATGAGGAGTCCTATTTGGCTGGGAATGTCAAGGGAAACCTGTTCAAACTCACTTAAATAAGAGAAGAACAATAATCAGATGTGCTTGGTGATCAAGCAGTGATGTTTTACAACAAAACATTTGTTTTATACGCCTAATGTTAGAAAAGTGTTTCTATTGATTTAATTATATGGTCTTTTGTGGCAATGTCGTGACAATGATGAACACTTATCTTATCCTGTTGCTTATTTGCAGAGAGGTTGCCAAAGGACTAATGAAGTACCAACCTGACGTTATTATTAGTGTACATCCACTTATGCAACATGTTCCGCTTCGTATTCTAAGGGCGAAGGGTCTTCTAAAGAAGATCGTTTTTACCACAGTTATCACAGATTTAAGCACTTGCCATCCTACATGGTCTGTCAATGTTGTTGCTCTTGTTAATACAGATTCTCAGTGTGGTTCTGATTTGGATTTCTCTATGCCCAGGTTTCATAAGCTTGTGACTAGATGTTACTGCCCTTCAGCAGAGGTAGCAAAGAGGGCCTTGAAAGCTGGATTGCAGCCTTCACAAATTAAGGTGTATGGCCTTCCTGTGAGACCTTCATTCGTTAAGCCTGTCCGGCCTAAGGTTGGTGACTCGGTTTCATATGTTAAGCTATCTTATCTCCTTGACAGATATGTAATATTTTTAGCTGTATCTGTAATAATATTCTGGATCTGGATTATGTCCTAGAAAATTTATGTTGGCGTTTAAATATATTAGGAACATTAATTTATGAATGTGCCCCAGCATTTGTTGACAGTAGAATGGAGTCATGAACTTTAATTATATTCTAATTGTTCTTTTAAGCTATGACTAATCAATTGAAATTGGGTTGAGTACATGCTTTTTTTATTAAACCGCTTCACTATAACTTGGATTCCTGTAGAAGATCCATGTACCTTAAGCTCGATTTTTCATTTCTAATGATAGGAAGAACTAAGGAGAGAACTGGGTATGGATGAGGATCTTCCGGCTGTCTTGTTGATGGGAGGTGGAGAAGGAATGGGTCCAATTGAAGCCACTGCTCGTGCACTAGGGGATGCATTGTATGATGAGGATCTTATGAAGCCAATTGGTCAGATCCTTGTTATTTGTGGCCGCAACAAAAAGCTCGCCAATAGATTGCTTTCAATCGATTGGAAGACTCCTGTGCAGGTAGTTGATGGGTCTATTCTTTAAGTCACTACCACAGCCCTCATCACATCTGCCTTTGTCAATGTGTTGCTTACTGTGTACAATTGAATGGAAAATACTAGCATAGCATAGTTTTACCACCACTTTTCATGCTTGTAGCCATACTTCTATCAGGCAAATGAACCTCGCATGCTATGAGAGCTGCGCCTTGATTGTTTTTAACTTTTTACGTCTAATTTTTTAAATGAAGGAGAACTGGTTTTGATTTTTTAATAACGTCCCTTGGATTTGACCTATTTCTGTGCCCTTCTGCAAGCTTAATTTTACATTTTTCTTACCCTTTCCCTTTTTATATGCTACCAGTGGATGCTTTTCTTCGCTGTCAAAATGACTTTAAAGATTGCAATGCTTAATGCAGAAAGTCAAGTAATAAGATTGTTCGAAATGAGAGAAACGTGAATTAACTGGCATGCTTCTGTTCTTCCATGCTTTTATGCATTATGTGCTGAAGAAATTGCTCAATTATCCAGGTGAAGGGGTTTGTCACCAAAATGGAGGAATGCATGGGCGCTTGTGACTGCATCATTACAAAGGTAAACCTATCAGGACCATTGAATGTATGATTCTCTTGTCGAATGTTAACTGTCTACTGATAAGTCTCTTTTCAGGCGGGCCCTGGGACCATTGCAGAGGCGACGATTCGTGGTCTCCCTATCATTCTTAATGATTATATTGCAGGGCAGGTAATTCTTGGTTTGAAGTAAAATGTTCTTTTTCCCCTTTCAGTTCAGTATCTTTTCAAAGAATCCTCATTTTTGGAATTTATTTGCGTGCATCTTGTTGGTGATACAAGTCATACCCAATTGTCCTGTCAAAGGAACCTCACTTCACAGCATAGGTGTAGCATTTCTATGTAGACAAATGAATCAGGAAATTGAATGCTGAAACTTTCTTACAAAAAATTCGCGGTTCTTTAGATATTATTTAAGTTTTCTAAATATGTGCAAGGATCTCCCGAGTTTGTTATGTTGTTTGTGGATATTTGACGTAATTATGAATAAACGACTGGAGGTTGTGAAGTGGTATAGATGATCATTGTACAACATGAACTATAGATTACATTCAGATGTCATCTTTTGTACCTCTTTTCTAGAGCGACTAAGCGGAGTTGACCACCTTTGAGATAGAAAATTATGCTTTACGGAGTTGAATATCAAGTGCTCAAGGAAAGCTATCTTCAGAAGATTAGTGCAGCTAAAACCAAACTGTTGTGATTTTCATCTGATGACAAAGATGAGAATATTGTCTGTGAGTGAAGGAACTACTGAAAAATGAATGCGTTCGTACTTCCTACTGCCTAGGGAATTGAAAGTAGCTCCAACTGGGAATTGATTGATACGGCACACTAGGTAGTTGTCATTGGCAAGGGAACAACTGAGAAGCGCTCATGAAAATGGTTGGTTATTGTTGGACGACCAAATGGTCTTGATGATCCGAAGGCTATTTTGAAATGAGCTGAGTCCTGGTTTTCCATGAAAACTGGCTTATCTGTTGCCTTTTTAGAAAATGTGAATTTTCTTTCATCCATTTCCCTCCATTTATGGGAGTGTATCTCCACGGCACTTTCCTAATGGTTTCTGGCTGAATTCTGAAATCCCTCTCCGACCAATTTTTACTTTGCCAATGACAGGAAGTGGGAAATGTGCCGTACGTGGTGGAAAACGGATTTGGAAAGTTCTCAAAATCACCAAAAGAGATAGCCAACATCGTCGCAGAATGGTTCGGCCCAAAAGCAGATGAGCTCAAGGCCATGTCACGAAATGCATTGAAGCTGGCTAGGCCTGATGCCGTGTTTAAGATTGTTCACGATCTCCACGAGTTGGTCAAGCAAAGAAGCTTGGTACCTCAGTACAACACGACGTAGCTTGATCTCCTGGACCAACTTTCGGGCGGGATGGTTTGATGGAAACATGGGTGAGAGGCATTTTTATATTGTAGATTTTTCCCCACAATACTATGCTGATTCATTGTAACAGTAGTAGTTGCATATTCATCGCTGAATCATACGTTACGTAGGCCCTGTAACCCTTTAGGGAGGAGTGAGTTATCCTCCTGTCAATAAAAAGCGAAAAGCATTGGATAGATGCAATTTACCATGCAGCAAGGACCTGATTTTACTGCCAAGTTTGTTCGATATAGTGCATTTCTGTCTTCACTGTAGGCAGATTTTTCACTCAATGCTGAAGAACCAAATGAGAAGAAGCATGAAAATCTTTGTCTTGGCTAGGTGAACATTTCAACTCTTTTGAGGTTTGTTCTGGTATTGGACCCTTCATGGTCATCCTATCATGCCTGGGAAACAATGGCTTACAAAGAGGCCGGCCTCTTGGCTTTTATGTCTCTTGTCTTTCACCTGAGAAATAGATTCTAACCTCTTGCACACAATTCTCACAAAATGTCATCATTGAAGTACACATCAGATATTTTAAGAAAGACCAAATTAGTAATTCTAATGATTTCTCAGCATCATCTTTGAATACCCTTCAATTTGTTAGAAAAAAAAAAGGAGAGGAAATTGTGTAATTAGGAAAAAAAATTCTCGAGTTCCGAGTTGATTATACTTCACGCCTTAAGCTGAAAGACATTATTTAAATAATAATAAAAAAAGAGAACTTGATTTTACTTTGATACTTCAATTCAATCTCCTTCGCTTGGCGACTACACACAGAAATTGTCTTAAGGACACTATCTTTTGTTAAAAACTCGGGTACCAATTGATGTGATGGCATAATTTTGTTTAGATGTTTCGCGAATTTCATAAAGGTATCCGGTTCAAGCCTAAATCATCAATTAGCAAATCCGTCTTGTTATTACTATGCCCACTATTTTCCTAAAAAATATAAGTAAATGAACGGGGTTCTGTCCGAAAGGAACCACAATCTTTTTGGTCAATTCTAGTGGAGGATATCGCAATTTCCACAATATTATCCGCACATAACACAAAAAATTGGCAAAAATTCCCAAATTTTCCTTTGTATGATTGCTTAACGAGAATATCCAAGTAACTCCCTGATAAAATACTTTTTTTTTCTTCTTAAAATAATGAAGAGATAAAGTATATTGGAAGTCCTAAAACTTGTTAAAAAATTACAATTGCGTCTTAAAACTTTCAAAAAGTGTAATCAAATCCTGAAACTTTCCACAAAAGTGCAATCGAGTCCTAAATCTTTCAAAAAGTGCAATTAAATTCTAAAACTCGTAATGAAAATCCAATCGAATCCTAAAACTTTCAAAAAGTGCGATCAACGGAATGACTTGATCGGACAAATTTGACTTGATTGCTTTTTTTTTGAAAGTTTTAGGACTTAATTGCATTTTCGTGATAATTTTTAAAACTTAATTACACTTTTTGTAAGATTTAGAACTCAATTGTACTTTCATGACAAATTTTATAAATGGGAGATAGAAAGGAGACGCCGGTACTGGGCCGTAAAAAGGCCGTAACGACTTCTCCAACCGTCTTCTCCGCTCGGCCCACCGAGCACAGCAGCAAGGCCTGCTCCGAGCCCCTCTCCCCCTCTCCTCGAGGACGGAGCGAAAGAGGAGAAGGAGGAAGAGGACGAAGACGAAGACGAAGACGAAGAAGAAGACCAAACACCAGATCACAGCAGAAAAATCGATACAGAGAAGCGACCGAGGCCGGCGGCGAGCGCGAAGCAGATGGAGAAGGGCAAGGGAGTGATGGGGATGGGGAGGCGGTGGGCGGTCGACTTCACCGACAACTCCACCTCTCCCGCCTCCCGCGACATCCCCGATCCTCTCGGTTTCTCTCGCGCCTCCCTCGATCAGGTAGTTCGTCGATTTGGGCTCCCGTGTTCTCGAATTGTTCTGGGTCGGGCATCGAATTCGTGTGCATGTGTTTCTTTTTTTTTTCCTCAATCGAATTCCCCTTTTTGCCTTTTGTGTTTGCAGGATGATTCTGCGGTCACTCGACAGAAGAAGGACGCTGAGGCTAATTGGAAATCTCAGGTACTCCTCCTCCTTCCCACGTCGAGAACTGCTATTGCTAGTCTTGCGAGGATCTTCGGATCTGAAACTGTATACGTTTGAGCTGAACGTAACGAAGAATATGGAAGAATGTCAGTTTTGACCGCTATTTCCCGTGTGAGTGTTGAGATTCAGTTCTAACGACTATACACTTGTGTAGAAAACACCGTATTTTGGAAAAATTAAGTCGGTATAGTCTTTAGTCTTGAACAATTTAATCAAACAAAAGGTTGGTTTTTTTTTTTTTTTGGTGTAATTCGATGTGGTGGAAGAGTTTCGAACCAAGCTTCGATGAGATAAGCTGTGAATTGTGCTCCCTGTGGTTTGTAAACAGAAAGCGTGGGAGGTGGCGCAAGCCCCGTTCAAGAATTTGATGATGATGGGGTTCATGATGTGGATGTCTGGAAGCACTGTCCATCTCTTTAGCATCGGTATCACGTTTTCGGCCCTTTGGCAGCCGATAAGTGCTCTTCAGGGAGTTGGGAAGGGTAAGCTAATCACTGATCATGAATGATTCACTTCTTATTGGTTAGCTTGAGGCATGCTCTTAGGTCTAGATTATGACGTTGTTTCTTTATTTATCTTAAAGAAGAATACTGCTAATCCAACAGGAAATTGAGACACTGCTGGTATTCATCCGTTGTATATGTCCTCTTCTTATTCCTTTTTTTTTAGTTTCCATGTATGTGAATCCGGTTAGTACATGCCAGGTAGATAGCTTAGCTTGGCCTTTGGTTTTTGAATGGCTTCCGGTTAGTACCTCTGTTACATTTGCAGCTACGATCTGTTGTCTTTGTGGAAAGAAGTACTAAATGCGCACAAATCTCAAGTAACAGATTGGCGTACACATTTGTTTGTTCACATTGACCTGGGGATGCATTGACTATTGAACATGATTAACTTATGCCCTAACATCTGAATGGGTTAGCAGGATGTGCAAGTCATGAATCTTTCATAAATTCTGCTTGACTCTTTTCATTTCTTTTTAGCTTGTCTCAAACTTGTACTGTCTGCTTGAATATGCGTTTGGTATTTGGTCAAAACATACAACAACAGCCTCCAAAATGAGTGTATAAGGTTTCAATCGCATGTTAAGTTAGAGATACGACAGCATCACAAAGGTCAACTTCTTGCGAGTTGCTAATGTGGTTTTCTGACTACTAAATGTTTGCGATTATATCCTGGCTTATGCTATCATCGCTTAATTAAGTGGAGCTCTGGATAATATTGTTACGGGACATAATGGAAATCAGTGGTAGTGAGTCAAGTTCCTGAGAACATCTGGTGAGGCTCATCTACCCTTGTATCGATATTGTGAAGTGAAGTGCCTCTTTAGTCATAAAAATTGAGGACAGAGCTGCGCTTCCTATCTGCGATTTTGGGTGCTTTTATGGGGTTGCGAATGGTTGCCAGATGGGCACGAATCCAATAGCAGGCGAATCAGTAGCAATAAAAGGTCAAGCTACTAAAAGTATGGTTATCAAATTGCCACTTATGGATATTTGTTTGGGGGTTGCTGCTTGAGTACATCAATAAAGGTCCATGAATAACTTGTGCAACTATTTTGAAAGTGGATTGTTGGATGGACCATTTTGCAGAGGACCTTAATGTTCTTTACTTATTGAGCTTGTTGTATTGTATTTTTGTCGGTTGTCATACTCAGGAAAGTTCTTTTTCTGTCACATGGCAGTTTTTGAGCCATACAAGGACAATAGGGTTGAACTTCTTGCGCCAAAGTTACTCTATATAGCCCTTAATCTGGGAGGTTTAGCACTTGGTGTTTGGAAGGTGAGATGCTTACATTAGGGACTTCTTCCCCCTACCCACAGAAGCATTTCTTGCGGAGGGTCCTTCTCTCTTGGCCCTGCAGATCTGGGGCATGTTTCCTTGTGCTAATATGTTTCTTCTTGGCAGCTTAATACACTTGGCCTACTTCCTACACATGCATCAGATTGGGTCTCATCCTTACCTCCAGCACAGGTTTAATTCTACTTTTTCTGAAATCTGCACTTGCTTAGGAAACTGTGACTGAAAATTTCATTTTGGATGAATTGCAACCTTTCTACTGTATTGTATGTTCAACTAAGGTGTATTGCTCAAAGGAAGTTAGGGGCAGATATTGGTATGAATCATAGGAGTTTGAAACAGTTTAGCTTATAATTGATTTCCTTCCTGTAAGGAGTTTTGCATAACATTAATTGTTGTATACCAGTGTAGTAGGACTCGTAGGATCATATAGGCAACCTTTCTAGGAGCATGTTTGCTACGGTTTTCTAACTGCAGTTGTAGCTGCAAAAAGAGGTGTTGGGCAAACTTATCACAGCTGCATTAGCTTACGTACAAGGAAGCTGTGTTGCCCAGCCTTGAGATATTGCAATTTTAGAACATGTCTCACCATACATACAACTTATGTCAATTCGTGGCATTGCCTCAGTCTACCACAACCATAGCTATACCAAGTAGACCCTTAGTAGGATATGATTTGGGTGTTTTTTTTTCCCCAGAAATGTCAGGGCTTGAATATCCAGAAAATTGGCTTTTTGCAAACTTAGCTTGTAATCTATTGTATTTATGTTACCATGAAAATATTACTCAACATAGATGGCCAAAGGGCTTGTAAATTTCCTGCACGATATGCCTTTTCTTTTTGGCCACTACATGTTATTAGTCTTTGATGAAGGCTAACCTAAAAAAGGTTTTGCGTATTTCAGGAGGTGGAATACTCAGGTGGGGGCATGCCTCTACATTAACGCAACAGTGTCTACAATTTCAAGACCGATCTCCAAGTACGAGAGGGAGTGCTGGAATGAATTTTTCTCCGTTACCCATTTCGTTATCCTTGGATCCGTCGCTGGTGGCGGAGTGGTTCAGTCTCGGTTGATCATCTACCAAGGTCTTGTCAGCATCGCTGTAGCTGTCGAGTAAATTAGTCGGATGGTTACTGATGCTAAATTTAGTTCCCCAGTCAATGCTACTCTTGCATTCAACCGTTTCATCTATTATCATCACTCTTAAGACTGCTTTTCTGTTAGAATGGTTGAACTCTGATCGGGACTTGTGTCATTACTGTAGTTTCTTAAGCATCCATCAGATTCTGATTTCCTAATATGACAGATGATTGATCTTATAGTAAGCACGATATATGGGCTAAGCCAAAGCAAATACCAGTAGCAATAAGTATGCACTTGTGAGTGGATTTTGGCGGATGCTGATCATGATGGCTTATGAGTTCTGGCAATAGAATTCCTATAAAGCCCGGATTAGGTGCGCAAAGAGTAAAGTGAAGACCCCGACAAGGTAAATTTGTCGGTACGACTCAAATGAGTTTTTACTGTACGCTTGGTGCTCTCATAAATCAGTGTGTTGGAATGGAAAAGAAGAAAAGAAAAATATAGTGGGAGGCTTTTCTTTATGTGAAAAAAATGTGAAATCTGATTTTAAATGGGCTGAATCATAAGAAAAGTTAACGAAATTTTGGAATCAATCGATCTCCGCAATGGGCATGGATATAGTTCTTTTATTTTTTTTGGTCAAAAGCCGAGATATAGGTTTTTTCTTGTCGAATAAAAGCGGAGATATAGTTCGAATGATTTGATTGAAATTCTAGTGGCCAATATCTACACGCACCTAATGCGTAATTCGAGAGATAATAATACAAATGATATCCGAAATTTAACTTAATATGTAACGTGCTACATGAACTTGAAGTTTCTTTAACGTGGTTCTTGAATTTTAGCTCAGCGTACGATGTCGTTTCTGAAATATTAATTTGTTTTATGTCGTCTCTGGATTATACGAAAATATTCAAAGTATATGTATCAAATATTGATTCAATAATTCATGAGCTAATTTGAATATGTACCAAATATTCATAGATCATATTAAACAAATTAAAAATTTATGGATGATAATGAATATAAAATAAAAATCCAAGATTTATATTGCATTAAAGTTTTTAGATAAGTTATGTGATTTACCCAAACTCAATGAGTTTCCACGTGGCTATGCTTTTGACCGATCGATATGACAAGGGAGGGTACGCTCATCATCACGTCAGATCCGTTTGTCTTGCTGTGGGCCCCAATTTCATTATATTATTTGGGACGCGACAAATCCAAGCAATCTCTCTCTCTCTCTCTCCCCTCGAAGAACCAGAGTCGCACCTACACCTGCCACCCCCAAAGCCATACCCACATCATCATCATCATCATCATCATCAGGGTCGAGCCATGGAGTTCACGCCGGGCGAGTTGATCCAGTTCAACGGCACGGACCCCTCGAAGCCCATCTACGTGGCCATCAAGGGCCGGGTCTTCGACGTCACCGCCGGCAAGTCCTTCTACGGCCCCGGCGGGGCGTACGCCATGTTCGCCGGCAAGGACGCGAGCCGGGCCCTCGCCAAGATGAGCAAGAACGACGAGGACGTCACCCCTTCCCTCGACGGCCTCTCCGACAAGGAGATCGGCGTCCTCACCGACTGGGAGAAGAAGTTCGAAGCTAAGTACCCTGTCGTAGGTCGCGTCGCCTCTTGAGTCTTTGGATCTTTTGATCGATTAGTTAATGCTCGTTATGTGTTCCCTTGTCTTGTTATTACTGGGAGTTTACCCGTGTGGTGTAATAAGGATGTTGTGTCCTTTGATGGTGGAACATGTCTCGAGACATTAAGTGGATATGATGGATGGATGTTGGATATGGATTGTAATAATCTTAGGCTTTTGATTGTTAAGTAAGATTTTGTGCTAGTAGGAAAATAAAGAAGATGTTGTATGGTAGACAGTCCTCTGCACTGGTCTAGTTTTTTCTCCTTGTATGATTGTCTGATTGTGCCCGAGTGTGCTATGCTTTCGCCGTGCAGTCGGTAGGCGTGTGAATCATGATTTTTGTTGGTGGTGGAAGGGATTCTGGGTGTCTCGTTATAAAGGCACTAATGGTATAACTTGAGATTAATGAATTTTGTTGGATTTTGAAAGAGTTGAAGGCCTTTTATGTGGTCTGTGGCTATAAGATAGATTGTTGTTGCTATATGTCGTATGATGCTTGTCTATCGGTAGCAGAATTGGCTGCTTATGTCATAGAGAAGCTATCGAGTACATTTATGAGTTCTATTGCACCACGCGTGTTCAAATTCAAGCGTGTCATCCGGGGTTGCCGCTCGCAGGGTTCCCCAGCGAAGGGCAACCCCCAGATGACAAGATAAGTTTGCATGAGTATGGTAGGAGTGCCCTTGCTTTTAACTATTGTCAGTGTTAGTCTGCTGTAAAGAATGATTCTATTCATTCAGAGGAACTTCGATTGTACTCTTCGCCTTCCCTCATCTCCTTTTAAAAGCAATGATCGGCCAACGGTGTCACCTAGATGTAAGCAGACCGTCCATGGTCGGTTCCTTTATCCTTTTGGGGGAGAGAACTCTCAGAATGTCCACACACCTCCAAAGTCGTGTCAGTTAAGTCGCTCACTGGCCATTAACCTCATTTTTGCATTTTTTGCTATTATATAGGAATGGAAAATCCAGAAAAGAGAGGAGCGTGACAGAGATCTCTAAAGTGTGGGGAATTTCATGGTTACCCCTCACATGCTGGACGACCAATGACAGTTATCTCGATAGAATAGGTATGTGCCACATGCATGTAATAGGTATTGCTGTGATCAAGGAGTGTTAAGAGCTTGGTAGAATCTTCATGTAGATCATCTAGATATTAGATCATACTCTTAATGAGGCACAAAAAGAGGATTATCAAACGTCCCTGTTACTATACGGCCAAAGCATGTTTTGGTAAACTCATCCTAATGAATGTGCGCCTGTCCGAGATTCCTCCCCAGGACTGGGAGAATCCGGACATCTGGTTTTTCAACCAAGATTTCTCCCCAAGATCTAGTTTAGATGATATCTTGTTTTAAGCTAAAATCAGCTGAGGCCTAAAAAGTAAATTTGCCATGACAGGTGCACCTATGCGGCGGGTGTCAATCGTGGATAGGATGCAAGCTAGATGTCCAGTTGGGATTTGATTGTCCTAAAGTGGAGTCAATGTCTTGACTTGTTTGGATATGTGACAGCATTTTTTAATTCTTGAGTTGGTAACCAAAACCGCACCAGATTAGTATTTTTTTTTTTTTTTGAACTGATTCAGTTCAATTATTTGAAAGGAAGCAATGACATGTCCTACCGTGACAGTATATTCTTATGATGGATGATTAAGCAAAACTCACCCTTGGATGTACTCTTATGTACTGTTCACTATTCGTGACTTTACCTTCCAAGGACCGTTTGGAATTGGATTTCTGAGGAGATCTCCCGTGACTTTTATTCAATTTTCACACTCGTTGATCAAACGAGCAATAATCCTGTATCTTAAGTTTTGACGTTAGCTGCCCTTACGCGGGTCTACCTTTACAGACAATAGATGCCTATTTCTGGCTATTTTTGTTCATTTTCTGTTCTTCAGTTTGCTGCTTTACGCAGAGATGCATCATTTTTTGCTGAATATGCGCATCTTCTGAGACGGGTCAAGCGGCGAATGTTTCGGTTTGCCTCATTTGCTAGTGCATGTGTGGCTATGTCGATGTCGAGATGAAGCGCGTGAATTTGGATTGGCCATCTTGGTGCAAAATTGTCAAATATCACTACACTGCCATGCCATCTCCTACCTCTTCATGCAATGAGGTATATGAACTTCATCGATTCTGTTGGCCATAGCCGACTTAAAGAAGATACTGCTTGATTTCTGCTTTTTCAGCAGCTAGTTTCTCATATTTTCATGTTGAGACATCATGATTGTATAGCTTTAATGTTGTCTCGGAGCTTTTTGGGAAGCCCAACATCTCACGAGGAGGATCTTTACTTTTGCCTCAATTACCATAAGCTTGAGAGAGACTCGCCGTTGCCAAACCCTTGCCTTTTCTAGAGATTTTGTTCTCCAGAACGGTTTTCATCTGATGGATTATGTTGCAACAGCACGTCTCCGTTCATCGTCATGCTCACATCCAGTATGTTACGAGCATTTGGCGATGCTTCACAAACCGCAACTCAAAATGCATTTTGTATTAATTATAGGTTACGATACATTATATCATCGATACAAATTACTCCAATAGTGATATCTAGTTGAGCGTAAAGTGATGAATTGGCAAGAGAAACAGTAGGGATGAGCTCTAAAGTTTCTTTCCAGTGGAACTTTCGGAATCTATAGCCCATTAGTTTAATAAATCAAAGCACTTCGATAATTAGATATAATTCTGTTGTAGAAACAATCAAATTATTTCGAGTGGATAGCATCCAACCCCGAAACCAAATTAGGTAAAAAGGGTATTTAGCGGTCTTGTAATTGCCCTCTCATTCTTGCACACAACCAGCTTAGCACTTTGTGTTTACATACTAAAGTTATCAACATGCATACTACGCTTTTATTTATATTGGATCTAAATACCCAAAATGATCCTCTACACGAGACATGTAACTCGTTCCAGAGACGATCTCTAGGGCGACCAATTTAACGAAATAATCAGTGCAAGAAAGAAAACTCCAAGATCCATGAATTGAAATTCTCTTTTTAATATAATCTCGTGCCGATAACTTTAGTTGGTGATTTTCTAGCTTTGTGGAAAGTGGGCGTGGGTACGAGACATTTTCTTGACATTGTGGTGGGAGAAAAAGAAAAGGGAAAGCCAAAAGGGCCGGTCTTGCTCCATCCAGCACTGTGGAGGCAGTGGAAAATTTTTCCAAGTCGGTCTTCCAATCGCAAAAGGAGAACCTTCTTCTCCTCCTCGCTAAGTCATTCCCCCACAGTTGATGAAATCTCTGCCTCTCTCTCTTTCCATCTCTCTCTCCAAACAGACGGAAACTCCGGTTCTAATCCAATCCATTCCTGTTCGACTCTCCCTATCCATTTCGGATCATTCTTTCTTGGTTTCGTCTCAATCGCCCAAGTGTCGTTTTTCTGTCCACTGTCGAACTTCATTACCGCCGCCGATCACACCTCCAAGATACCCCTTTTTTTCTCTTCCCTTTTTCCCGATCAATCTGCGCGTACCCATCTCGTGAACGGCTCTGATTCGGATCTCTACCTATCCATGGACCTGTGCTCAGTCAAAGCCCGATGCTCTGTCCCCAAACCCTGCTGTCACTTGGCTGATTACAAGCTCAAATACGGTCCGACTGGCTATGATTCCCTCCGGGACAGCTTTGTGACTGGCCCAAATGGGAGAACGATTGTCTGTGCACCCGATAGGAAGATGCCCAGATGCTTTTGCTGTGATGGGTATCGGGAAAGACTTTACCTTTGCTTAATTTGCTCCTCAGTCTCTTGCTTGGATCACACCCTCCTGCACGCCCGATCTGATTCCGGACACGACATAGCTGTCGACGTCAAAAGATCCGAGCTTTACTGTGGGATATGTCGTGATCAGGTCTATGATCCTGATTTTGACGCTGCTGTGATCAGTAAGAATATAAAGGACCTGATGATAGTTCACAGAAATGCTTTTGAGAGTGTTGGGGAGAGATCGAGTAAGAGGAGGAGATTGAGTTCTGCGATTGATCTGGATTTGAAGAAGTGGAAGGAGCTGCCTTGTATGAGAGATCAGAGGGCGAAGTCTTGTTATCCGATTGGTTTGAGAGGATTGAATAATTTGGGGAACACCTGTTTCATGAATTCCGTGTTGCAAGCATTGGTACATGCCCCTCCGTTGAGGAATTACTTCCTTAGTGAGAGGCATAACCGTGGAACTTGCCTGAAGAGATCGTTAGAACGATTCTGTTTGCTCTGTGACATTGACATTATCTTCTCGGCCATGTTTTCGGGCGATCGGAGCCCATATAGTCCAGCTCAATTTCTTTACAGGTGTGTACTTGTTATCTGCAAGTGATATCCTTTGGATTTAGCTCAATTTTCCAGCTCTTAGAGAATCGGTCTTGTCTTTGAAGAGAGATCTGCCATTCGTGTTCATGTGTGTGATTATGATATCATCATTTGTGCCTCAAATTAGTACTCTTGGTTGTGTCTCATCAGATTAATTAACTTAATCAAACATAAAAGCTGAAAATCAGCTATTCTGATGAAGCATGGATTGTGTGCAGCATTCTGAGAAGATTTAGTTCCCTGATTGAATGAAATGTGGCGGTGCCATTTTGCGGTTGGAAGGGTTTGAATGTAAATACATCAGTTCAACTTTGGTTTAGAACGATTGATTGTAGTGTTTCGAATGTGTTCGTCATCAGATTCCACAGCTTTTGTATAGTGTCTTTTTCTTTAATAAACTGATATAATTATGACATTGTTTACTGTTTTATGACTGGTTCTGTTGTATTGAAGCTGGTGGCAGCATTCAGCAAATCTAGCTAGTTACGAGCAGCAAGATGCCCATGAGTTTTTCATCTCGCTGTTGGATGGTATCCATGAAAAGGAGAACAAACTAAGGGACATGAACAAAGGTATCGTAGCTTTGAGCACTCATGCTTGATTGGTCATGCCATCTGTTATTCAACGGTGCATAATGCTAATTCATGCCAGTTGCAGTAGAGTTTGGGAGCATCAATACAGAGTGTTATTCTCAGTTAACAATTCTCTAATTTTGTGCAATCTCTCGTGAGGGCAATATAAAATATTTCTGATTAATATGCTTCGAGTTTGCTTTTTGCTCTGAGCTGGGTGATGTGTATGTATGTGAATTCCATATGGACATTGTCTTACGTACGTGCTTACATGCATACCTGGATCCGCAATAATTAGCACGATGTCATGGACTGCACTATGAAGTTCTCTGTCATATTTTGCGTATTACAAGTGGCCAGCAGACCTAAAGTCTGGTCTAATGGTCTGAAGATAAATTAGCACTGTCATGAAGTTGCCAAGGTATTATCCCTTGTGTACTAACGATATTTTTCTTTTTCTCAGATGCTGGAGATTGCCCATGTATAGCTCACAGGGTATTTTCTGGACTGTTGAGATCAGATGTAACTTGTCTGACTTGTGGATTCACTTCCACGACCCATGACCCTTTTATGGACATTTCACTTCACTTGGATCCGAGTCATTGTTTTTCAACAGAGACAACTAATAAAGGTTCTAAATTGAATGGATGCACGAGCATATCTACATCCACCCTTGTTGGATGTTTGGATCTTTTCACAAAACCGGAAAAGTTGGGATCAGACCAGAAACTTCACTGCCAGAATTGTCAACAAAGGCAAGATTCTTCGAAACAACTGTCCATTGGGAGGCTCCCTTTGGCACTGTGTCTTCAGGTAAAAAGGTTTGAGCACTCATTGATAAGGAAAACATCAAGGAAAATAGATTGGCATTTACAGTTCCCTTTCTCTTTGGACATGAGTCCCTACTTGTCCTCCTCGATTATCAGAAAGAGGCTTGGGAATAGAATCCTTTCTTTTGAGGGCGACGAATCTGATGTCTCAGCTGAATATGAGATTTTTGCTGTTGTTACACATTCTGGCATGCTGGAATCTGGACACTATGTGACTTATCTGCGCTTAAGAAACCAATGGTATAGATGTGATGATGCTTGGATAACCGAGGTTGATGAGGCGACCGTCCGAGCTTCACAATGTTACATGATCTTCTACGTGCAGAAGATGCTGTACCACAAAGCCAACGACGAAATTGGTTGCGCACCAACTTCCTCACGGAGGGATTCGCATATGTCAGTAGTAGGTTGCTGCTAGAGAAGAACCATGTTGATGGGTGTTTTCATAGGGTGGTTATGAAGATCACCGCAAATTGCATGTGATGGTTGACAGAAGGATGGACGGACGGAGGTTTATGTAGATCCCCCTTCAATAAAGTGATCGGGGTGAACCCCAAAATGGGAAAAAAGACGCAAGGATAATTTTAGAGCATCCCCTGCTTGGACAGTGATCATCAGTATGATCAGACTCACTGTTAAGTGCTAAGTATTCTTTTATGGGATTCATTCATGTATAGTGTACTCTGTCCTAACTACTAATACACAGCAGCGTTATGAAAAAGTCCATTTGGCTTCAATGTTTCATCCGCTTTCTTTCAGATTGTTGATGTGTCGAAGATCTCCATATCTCTCTCTCTCTCTCTCTCTCTCTCTCTCTCTCTCGCAGATAGTTGTGGGTACATATGGCACAGTTTCGTGCTTCTGCTTCCGCGCCTTCCAACCTGAGCCACAGCATCGAGGTCCGTGGAGTGTTGATTTTATTTACCTCAGCAATGAAAACTTCGATACCGCTTCGGGCCAAACGAAACTACCATCCTAAGCCTTCAAAGCAACACATATAGCATCTCGCTTGCTTTTAACTAGTTCCGCTTCTCTTTGACATATGCTTGGGGCATTACATATAGCAAACTAAAAGGACATCTTTCTACATATTTTCCCAAAATGAGTAGGGGAAATGGCCTTACCACGGGGGCATGTAACTAATTTACAGACATGGGTCAAAATCCGAGATCTTTGTTCGGTTTGGTTTCCAAAATTCAAGCCTTTGATGGGTTTTTCACCTTGAAAAAGGTGAAATAGACTATGAACAGGACAGAACAGAGTATGAAATGTGGAATGACAGATACATGCTCCATGTTGGGCTTCAGGCCCAGCATTGTTTCAATACCCTAGAGACTGAAATTTGTCTTCTTTTTTGTGGGATAGCTAAGAGAGAGAGAGAGAGATTGCGTCTGTAACCAAACACTTGTTGAGGGGGTGTTATTCCGGATTAGGGTTAACTCTTCTTCGCTTTCGCAGATTTCCTTTAGGCGCCAAACTCCAACAGAAGTGCCACTCACCAATCACCACCTCCTCCTCCTCTTCCTCCTCCTCCTTCCACTGTATCACAAACAGGTAAAGAAAACAGAACAAATTCACAAAGCTTCACGTGTATGCCATTGCATGTCTGAGTATATTCAACGTTTGCCAATCCCGCGTGTGAAAAAATCCAATCTTTCTTGATACCCTATACAGAAAAGATTGATTCTTCCAATGGGTAACGCTCCTATCAGCGTCGGAGTTTTTGTCCAGCAGAATCTTCATTTATTTCCTTTGTTCTCCGTGTTAATTCCGTGACGGTACTACAATGTAAAATATGAATGTCTCGTAAGATGGGTTGGTGTGGTTCTGGTGTTTCGCGAATTCAATGTGGTCTCCGAGGAGGTTGGCAGTCGACTCGGTTGTATTTTCGTAAACCATATGCTTCTGAATGGAGTTAGTGCGCCTGCTTCGGTGACAAGACCAGAATAAGATTCTTGGCTTGCTCAAAATGTTGTTGGACATTCTTCTATGGTATTATTTCCTGAGGCATCTCGGTGTCTTGTATTCATACAGTGGCTACACTGTTATCATTTGAACAATCTATGTTAAGGTTGCCTTCAAGAGAGCTTAACGCAGAAGAGATTTATTACAGCAAACTCTTTTGCTATAGTCTCCTTTATGCTTGTTTTTAATATTTATGAGTCAATTTAAAATGCCTGTGTGCCTCTCTCTGCTTCTAATAAGGTTTCTCATTGTCTGTCCAATATCTAGGGAGATAAATGGACAGTCATATCCCTGTGAGCAATGATCGTTCGAGGACATATTGGACACCTACAATGGAACGATATTTTATTGATCTTATGTTAGAGCAAATGCACAGAGGAAACCGGATTGGCCATACTTTTAATAAGCAAGCCTGGACAGACATGCTTGCCGTATTTAATGCGAAATTTGGATCTCAATATGATAAAGATGTTCTCAAACTTCGTTATACAAATCTCTGGAAGCAATTCAACGATGTAAAGAATCTTTTGGGTCAGAATGGATTTTCTTGGGATGAAACTCGAGAGATGGTGATTGCTGATGACTATGTTTGGGACACTTATCTTAAGGTGAGTTACCTCGGCTACTTCTCAGTAAGGGTCTATGCATTGATTTGAAACTTTTTTCAAATGATGCAGGTTCACCCACAAGCGCGCACTTTCAAGACAAAAACAGTACTGAACTTTAATGACTTATGTTTAATTTATGGATATACATCCGCCGATGGAAGATACAGCCGGTCAAGCCATGATGTGGACTTTGAAGATGAAATCCAGAGAATAAATATGGGTTGGTTATTTTTCGCCTCATGATTATGGTCAAATTAACTTATACAGCATCCTTCAGTGTGTAGGAGCAACAATGGTTTATGTTGTGATTTACTTTCAGAAGGGGTAAACTGTAATCAACATTAAAAAGAAACTTTGGATGCCTCAGACTGGTTATTTTTTGATTTGGACATATCCTTTCAGCTTGATATTGAATACCATGTATTTTTGTTTTAAATTTTTAGTTTGCAGTCGACAGACTAAATTACAGACATCTCATACTTTAACTAAGCAAATACCGAACATCTCTTGGTTAAGAGATGGCCGTGTCAATGTGATGTTTATTTTCTCAGAGAAACCTTGTTTCAACTAGTAGAATATGTCAAACTCATACTAAGTTTTGAAATCTCAATCTTTAGGCGATGGAACGGGCAGTCATGTGCCATCAAATAATGAACGTCCAAGGACAGACTGGACCCCATCAATGGACCAATACTTTCTTGAGCTTATGCTGGACCAAGTAGGGAGAGGCAATAAGTCCGGTGATACATTTACCAAGCAGGCATGGATGGATATGCTTCATTTATTCAATGAAAAATTTGGTCCTCAGTATGGAAAGAGGGTTTTGAGGCATAGATACAAGAAATTGTGGAAGTACTTCTCCGATGCCACCCTTCTTCTCAAAGAAGATGGATTTTCATGGGATAAAACACGCCAAATGATCACTGCTGATAATGATGTTTGGGATGCCTACATCAAGGTATGTGGTCATCAAGATTAGTACAGGGTTCAGTCTCCTTACTTCACTGTTTCTTGTGTTCCCTTCTTTTTCAAAAAATTCATGTTCATACAATGACTACAGGTGAACCCACATGCACGAACATATAGGACCAAGGTCCTGCCCAACTACGATGATCTGGTCCTAATTTACGGCAGTGCATGTGATAATGGGACTCAGAGTCGACTTGATCAGCAAAAGAACCCTGAAGATGACAACACGGGAAGAAAGTCTGGTGAGATGGATTATCTTTTTCTAATTAGTTTCTCTCATCTCCCAGAGTAATTATGACGTTTGGTCTTTGGTCCATATGAAGACTCAAGGATACTCTTATCTTATCTTGTCTTCTTTTACAGCTTGCTTTTTTCCTCGTATGCCCATTTCATTTTCTAGTTTCGATTGCAAATGTGTTGCACCTAACCTCATTGATATTCCCTGTCTGTAGTTCATACATATCAAAATGCTCGAAATATCTGGTTGATGTGTACATGGTTTCTTTTGTAACTAGTAGAATGTCTATATGACCCGTCTTCCGATTTTTTGGTGAAGGGAAAGCTAGGGACAAATCCTGTACTAGTGACCGCACAAGGACATACTGGACACCACTTATGGACCGCCATGTCATTGACTTGCTACTGGACCAGACTCTCAGAGGAAATAAGCTTGGTCAGACGTTTATAACACAGGCTTGGACCGTCATGGTTGCACATTTTAATGCAAATTTCCAATCTAACTATGAGAAAGATGTTCTGAAGAACCGATACAAATACTTGAGGAAGCAATTCAATGAAATAAGAAATATTCTCAAAGAGGATGGCTTTTCATGGGATGAAGCAAAGGAAATGATAACAGCTGATGACCAGTTGTGGGATGCTTATATCAAGGTGAATTTAATCCTCATCTTATCAGATTGTCTTTTCTGTTATGCGGTCTCTTATGTGCATAATTATAGGAACACCCTGATGCTCGACCTTATAGAGTCAGAACAGTCCCGAGCTATCACAAACTGTGCGTGATTTTTGGAGAAGAGAGTTTTGATGGAAGATACAACCGTGTGGCTCATAGTATAGATCCCAGCTGTGAAATACCCGTCTTGATGACTGGTATGTAATTCTTGGGAATTTGGAATGGGTTCACCGTTGATGGTTTATTAGTGATGAGAATAATCACAACATGACTTGCATTTCACTTATCAGATTTTCTAAAGGATGCCTCTTTTGTTCTTTGTAGGTGACGAGCTTAACGATTTATACTCCCCGAGGAATGAATCCTCACCGGTAGAGTGGACAGAACAAATGGATCGTAATTTTACTGACCTTTTAATAGAGATGGTGCATGAAGGGTATAAGAATGGTTCAACGTTGGATGATGTAGCATGGGTTCAGATGATTACATCTTTCAATAAACAATTTGGACTTCAATGTGGCAGATCTGATTTAGAAAGTCGCTATATCTTCTTGATGAAGCAGCATGATGAGATCAGCAAACTTCTTAGTCATGGTGGGTTTGCATGGGATGAAATGCAGCACATGGTAATTGCAGATGGTGAGGTTTGGGAAGCTTATATGAAGGTAAATATCCTTTTATGAGTGTATTGGTTCTTTTTTTTTTTTAATCACTTGACTTCCCTTTCCAGCATTCGGCCATGATGCAGCTTTACTTACATCTCTCTCTTAGCAAATCATGGCCCAGTTCTTCGCATGATCTCATGGTAAAAATCTCTGGAATGTAATACAGAAGATTGAAAAATATTTATCTTTTGGCCAAGATTTCTATTCAGGAACTATGGGGAGCATTTCTAATCATTCCTACTCAGATTAGAATAGCATGTTTCACTTGTGGAAATTGAAATCTTTGTCAGTCTGGCCAAAATGAATTAATAACAGAGAAAACTTCTGCAGAAATTTGCACTTGAGGTATTGAATTAGGGTTCTCCTTTTTGAACCATTAATTGTGAGTTGTGAAATTTTGCAGGTTGATCCAGATGCTTGTACATACAGAGATAAAGTTTTATGTTGCTATGATGATTTACGCAAGATTTTTTCTAACATGGTGGATGGAAACTTCATCAGTGAGGATCCTGGAACATGTGGTATACACGATGCGCAAAATCCGGAGGGAGATGCTGGATGTACGGATGCTCGATCTCCGTCAGTGGATTATCGCATTTCTCATCCACTGAGAAAACGACCAGGCACGCCATCCCATG